CCCTGTTTACGATAACAGAGAGATAAAAACTGAGGACAATGTTGAGCAGCATTTGACTAGGAATGCCCATATTCCTCTGAGTAGTAATAAGGATGGTACAGGTGAAAAGGGTCCAATAACTGCAGGAAATATTAGTGGTGGATTTGATTCTTTCCTGGAACTTTGGGAATCTGCTGGCGAATTTTTCTTCGATCTTCACTATAATAAACTACAAGATTTGAATTCCCGCATCTCTTATGAGATACATGGAATTGCTATCTGCTGGAATAGCTCCCCAGTATACTATGTCAATCTTAATAAAGATCTTCCCAACCTGGAATGTGTAGAAAAACAAAAGCTTATCGAGGATGCAGTTGTTGGCAAGAATGAGGTTTTGGCTACCCACAACATGTTTGATATAATAAAATCTAGGTGGAACAAAATCAGTAAAATAATGGGGAATGTAAATACGAGAAAGTTCACGTGGAATTTGAAAGTCCAGATTCAGGTGCTTAAGAGTCCCGCCATTTCAATCCAAAGATGCGCTCGCTTGAATCTTGCAGAAGGGATCAGGGATCTTGAGTTGGTTGATGGATCTTGGTTAATGATGCCTCCTCTTCACACAAGCCACACCATTGACATGAGCATTGTGATATGGATTCTTTGGCCAGATGAGGAAAGACACTCAAATCCAAACATCGATAAGGTAATTCCAGATTGAATATTACTGAAATCATACAATATATATCATATGTCTCCTGATGACGGTGTTGAACAAGAAAAGCAACAAAGTATAAATAATATTTTTATCATTTGTTGGTTAGTCTATCATCACACAGATTTAGCTTATAGGTATTTCCTTAGTATAGTTGTTGATGCAAAGTTGCTAAAACTGTTAATGTGATGTTAAAGGAAGTAAAGAAAAGGCTATCCCCAGAGGCAGCTGAAGCTGCTAATCGCAGTGGCAGGTGGAGGAATCAGATCCGAAGGGTTGCCCACAATGGTTGCTGCAGACGGGTTGCTCAAACGAGAGCCCTTTGTTCAGCTCTTTGGAAGATCCTTGTTTCCGAAGAACTTCTTGAAGCACTGACAACCACTGAAATGCCGCTGGTAAATCTTCTTTAACTTGCTTTACAGAGGATTTTCTAAACTTCACCAGCATCCCGCTGGATGATATGCTCAAAGTTAAATATTTATGTGTATTTGCTCAAGCAGCCATTTGTATTGTGATGGTAAGTGTTTGCTACCATACAGCTTCCTGACGAATATCCTATGTGATAGAGCTAGATAATGGCCAGGGAGGCAGTCAATTAAAGAAATTTCTAACTCTGCTAAGTTAGTTGTTTTGCGGCAGCATAATGCTTTCATTCTGTATTTCAGGTTAATGTCCTTGCAGACATGGAGCTCTGGGGTATAGGTGTCGATATAGAAGGATGCCTTAGGGCACGGAATATACTGCGGGATAAACTGCGGTCCCTTGAGAAGAAAGCATTTGAATTGGCTGGCATGACATTTTCATTGCACAACCCAGCTGATATTGCAAATGTGTTGTTTGGACAGTTGAAGTTGCCCATACCTGAAAATCAATCTAAAGGGAAACTTCATCCAAGTACAGATAAGCATTGCTTGGATCTTTTAAGGTATTCCGAAGGGCTAATTGCTTTTCCTTACATTGTGTTCTGTTTTTTCATCATAAAGGATAACAGACTATTTGAGGTACTTTCAGCAGTGAATTATATAAAGAAAAAGTCTGTGGTTATGATATCAAGAGCACCAATTTTCCCCAACTACTGTGATTCTATTTCAGTCTGACCATACATTGGAATACAACTTTGTCCCAGGAATGAGCATCCTGTTGTCCCAATTATCAAAGAACACCGCACTTTGGCGAAGCTCTTAAATTGTACACTTGGATCAATTTGTTCGCTTGCTAAACTACGCTTAAGCACGCAAAGGTACACTTTGCATGGCCGCTGGCTTCAAACATCAACAGCAACTGGGCGGCTTTCCATAGAGGAGCCTAATCTCCAAGTATGACTTCTGCTATGTTTCCTTTTTCATTCTATCGTGTATCTTAAAATCAATGACCAAGTTACTTTTCTGCAGTCTGTTGAGCATGAAGTAGAGTTCATATTGGATAAAAATGGAAAGGACGTAAATTCAGATACTGATAGTTACAAAATAAATGCACGTGATTTCTTTGTTCCTACTCAGGTAAATTTCTGTGTAATTTATGAAAGTGTTGTGTCTTCAAGCCAACAAGAAAACATATTTCTTATAAAATATTGTACAACTGAAAGCATTTGTTTCCTCCAAAGCATAATTTTAGAGAGGTCGGTAGTATGGGTCCTCCTGAGTTATTGGGCTAGTTACTCGAGTGTTAGGGGATTTCACATATGCATCTGAAAAGGTATTGGAAGCGCATAGTTGCCAAGTCAAGACTATTCTTAATGTTAAAGGTCATTCAATGTGGATGAATCAAGATGACAACAAAATCTTGCATAACTCCACAGTAGGGTAGAACCATATTAAATAGGCTTTTACTGGCAAAAGTGTTGAGTGTGTCACACCATCTTTGGTGCAATGTATTTTTAATCACCTTAGCCATAAGAGATTTCTGGTTTTCTCGAAGGTTGAATTTAATGTTGACTTTTTCCACCACAGGAAAATTGGTTACTCTTGACGGCAGATTATTCACAGATAGAGTTGAGACTTATGGCACACTTTTCTAGAGATTCCTCGTTGATTTCACAGCTTAGACAGCCAGAAGGTGATGTGTTTACAATGATAGCTGCAAAATGGACTGGAAAAGCCGAGGATTCTGTTAGTCCACATGATAGAGATCAGACCAAAAGATTGATCTACGGAATTCTTTATGGAATGGGTGCAAACAGGCTCGCAGAACAGCTTGAGTGCAGCTCAGATGAAGCTAAGGAGAAAATTAGAAGCTTTAAAAGTTCTTTCCCTGCAGTCACCTCTTGGCTAAACGAAACGATTTCATTTTGCCAGGAAAAAGGGTGAGGATGTTACACTCTATTTCCTTCTATATTTGATTCGAATGCAGTCCCATGTGTTCCTTTAAATCATAGACTCTCTATAATATTGTGTGATCAATTATGGAGCTATACTTTCAGTATTTCTTGTTGGAGACAAAATTGTCAGCTTTATAATTAGTTGGATTGCTTCTTTATGAACTATATTTATAAATGCAGAATATTTTGATATGCAGATACATTCAGACTCTCAAGGGAAGAAGGCGGTTCTTGTCGAAAATAAAATTTGGGAATGCCAAAGAGAAATCTAAGGCTCAAAGGCAAGCTGTAAATTCCATGTGCCAGGTCCGATCTTGTCTCTTCCTTTCTTTCTCCGGGATGCTTAATGTTATGCTTTCATGTTTAATAGACTGCCCATATACCAAATCGATCTATTTAAATTGAAAAAGTGTACTCTTCCCTTTTCGTTCTTTGGTTGGTGGTAATGGTTTTAAGAGTCTCATTCCCTTGAGGGAGAATATTGTTGAAGAAGTCCCTAACATTTGCTTCCAGACCATAAATTTTAAAGGGTTGTGGTTTTATTCAGGGATCTGCTGCTGATATTATCAAGATTGCGATGATAAACATATATTCTGCAGTTGCTGAAGATGTTGATACCGCAGCATCTAGTTCTTCAAGTGAAACTAGGTTTCACATGTTAAAGGGACGATGCCGAATTCTTCTACAAGTGAGTTTTCTACCTCGTTTTTTTTGTTTCAGTTTTGTTTCTTTCCATATATTCAATATTGCATTTCTGCAAGTAAATTTTTTATATTTTCTATGCTTATAATTGTGGGATATCATGATACAGGTACATGATGAACTTGTGCTGGAAGTTGATCCATCTTACGTAAAAGAAGCTGCAATGTTGCTACAAACCAGCATGGAAAATGCGGTGTCACTTCTCGGTATGTTCCTCATATACTACGCTTTTTATTAATTAAGTGATGTATATATATTGACCTTACTGATTCTATTCTCTATTTTCAGTCCCTTTACATGTGAAACTGAAAGTTGGGAAAACATGGGGTTCTTTAGAGCCGTTTCAGGCTGATTAAGACATCAGCAAAATTTCAAAAAGTCTTTGAAATTTCTATATAAGAGCCTTGGATGGTTTTGAGCAACTCGCTCACCAAAATATTCCAACATCCAATGGCTGGACTTGATGCCATGCTGCTTTATCTTCATGAAGAGGATTTCAACGGCTTCATTGACATTCCTTGCTTGAAGCTGTGACATGGAGATGGGATAATGAATGGATCATTTCAAAGGGATTTGCTCCTGCTGTGTTCTCTCAGAGGAGGGCTCTCTACTTATCAGCTCTAAAAAGAGTCTCTGTAAAGGTCTAACCAAAATAGACAACTTTGATAACTACTTAGACTGTGACTATTAACATGACCAAAATCATAGAAAGATTAGGCATAGGTAACTTGAGATTTTGATTGTAAATAAAAATCTAATGTCAACTTTTTCTACATGTACTCATGGTTCCAAAAGAGTAAATATATTGGATGATTATAATATATATGTGAATATTGTTAGGAGAAAAATATGTCGATATCTATAAAGTAAAAACCACTTATGACAAGTAATTTTTTTCAAAGAGCACTAGACTTAATCCCATGAACCTATCAAACCCCGAGAATATACTTTTTTCGTAGCTGAAATTCTCTAGGGGGACCAGTTGTCAAAAAGGCTCCATTGAAATGTGGAATCCATCTTCCAAAACTTGTCCAATTCAGATAAGTAAAAATGTATTATTAAGGACATGAAATGGTGGTAGCTCACGAACGGCAATGATGCAAACCAAACCAGAGTGATTTGCTCTGCTGTCTAATTGTGTTTTCTTAGCACTAATAAATTGAAAAACAACAAAGAATATAAGACAAAAAAAAAAAAAAAATCGTTACTTAATCCAATAATCACCGGAAAAAAAAAGTACAGTGAGAAAGCGATAACACATTCTCAGCGTCAGAAGCTTACACTGCTCTATACGACAAAAGCTTACCTGCTTCCTCCTCTCTGAGTTAGTGAATACTGAAAAAGCTTTCACAATCCCTTTTGCGTCCTTCGCAAAACGGCTTCGTTTTCATGTCGCTCTCTCCTTCTTCCTCGCCGGCTCCGGCAACTTCCCCGCCTGCCATGTCATCCCCTCCGGCGGATTCCGTACCTGACACGTCACCACCTCCAGCTCCTCCTTTGTCTCCTCTTCCCCCACCATTGAGCTCTCCTCCGCCGATGTCTCCACCACCGCCTCTCTCGGCTCCCACCGCTTCCCCACCGCCTCCTCCGGTGGAATCTCCACCGTCTCTTCCTATAGAATCTCCACCGCCTCCATTAGTGGAATCACCACCTCTTCCTCCGTTGGAATCTCCATCTCCACCGTCTCCTCAGGTCTCAGCTCCTTCCGGTTCACCGCCATTGCCCTTCCTTCCCGCCAAACCTTCTCCGCCGCCTTCTTCACTTCCCTCCGAGACAGCTCCGCCGGGAAATACGATTTCTCCGCCACCTCCTTCACTTCCCTCTGAATCAATCCCGCCGGTGAACACAGCTCCTCCTCCACCGCCGTCTCCTCCTCGCCGCCGTAGTGGCCCTAAGCCTTCGCTTCCTCCTCCCATCAATTCTTCTCCACCAAATCCTTCTCCGAACACTCCGTCACTCCCAGAAAATTCTCCTCCACCTAAACCACCGGTCTCAACGACGCCATTTCCCTCTTCATCCACTCCGCCGCCGAAGAAGTCGCCGGCAGCAGCAACTCTTCCTTTCTTTGGGCCAGTGGGCCCATTACCGGATGGGACCGTAGCACCACCTATTGGACCTGTTATAGAGCCCAAGACGAGTCCCGGCGAATCAATAATATCTACGGGAACGCCACAGCCACTGGTACCGAAGAGTCTACCTGAGACGACGTCGTATCACCGATCTTCCGCCGGGTTCTTATTTGGCGGTGTAATCGTTGGAGCACTTCTACTAGTTCTGTTAGGTCTTCTCTTTGTCTTTTACAGAGCTACCAGAAATAGAAATAACAACAGCTCTGCTCATCATCAATCCAAAACTCCCTCAAAAGGTATGAATTCAAATGATTTGCCATAACTGCTTGTTTGAAACAATAAACTGAATCTTTTTGGCTAAAATTTCCATAAGCTTTATGTGCTAAATACATAAACTTTGAGATCAATTTCAACCTAAAAACTTTGAGATTGTCACTTAAAATGTAATGTAATTGTAAGTTAGGCTCTTTTTTGCTTGGATCAGTTCAACATCACCAGGGCGGTAGTGCCGGTCCAAACCAGGCTCATGTTATCACAATGCCACCTCCAATCCATGCTGCACCACCTAAATATTTATCTAGTGGAAGCAATGGTACTAAGGAGAACAATTCTGTTGCAAAAAACATTACAATGCCATCTGGAATGTTCACCTACGAAGAACTTTCGGAAGCAACGTGTGGATTTTCAGAGGCGAACCTTTTGGGGGAAGGCGGTTTCGGTTATGTTCACAAAGGAGTGCTTAAAAACGGGACAGAAGTTGCGGTGAAGCAGCTGAAGATTGGGAGCTATCAAGGGGAAAGAGAATTCCAAGCTGAGGTTGACACAATCAGTAGGGTTCATCATAAGCATCTCGTTTCATTGGTTGGTTATTGCGTTAACGGAGATAAAAGACTCTTGGTTTACGAGTTTGTTCCTAAAGATACCTTGGAGTTCCACTTGCATGGTAAAAAAATATATGATTTGATCCTTCTTAAGGATTTTATTTTGTCTTTATATTCGTTATGTTGAGTATTGTGAGAATATGTGTTGTAGGAAACAGAGGAAGTGTGTTAGAGTGGGAAATGAGGCTCAGGATTGCTGTAGGAGCAGCAAAAGGATTAGCGTATCTTCATGAGGATTGTGAGTTGTTTCTCTTCATAATGGGATTGATAATGGCCTTTTTCGGTTTTTCGACACTGCTATTGATTTCTAGTGCTTGAAATGCAGGCAATCCAACTATAATTCACCGTGATATCAAAGCAGCTAATATCCTTCTAGATTCCAAATTTGAAGCAAAGGTAATGTATACTCTTTAATCTTATCATTAATTTTGGTTTTTAGGATAATATCCCATGAGAAATTTCGGTATCATTGAAGTTTTTAGAATCAGAGCTTGCCCATTTTCGGTTTATATCATACCATTTTGTTCTATTTAACAAGATTACAGGTAGCTTAAAGTTCTTGTTCTGTTTTGGTTCTTTCAGGTCTCTGACTTTGGACTAGCCAAGTTTTTTTCAGACACCAATTCATCATTCACTCATATCTCTACTCGAGTGGTAGGAACTTTCGGGTAAAACACCATCCATGCTTTTGATATGTTATGTCATCTTAAATATTGTTTTACCGTTTCAAATTTCTTCCTTCTTGTATAGTAAATCCAGATGAAAAGATCTATACATCAGTGATCACTAAACGTCTAATGCACCATTTAAACAGATACATGGCTCCAGAATACGCGTCCAGTGGTAAAGTAACTGACAAATCAGATGTATATTCATTTGGGGTTGTGCTTCTAGAACTCATCACTGGACGTCCATCAGTTTTCCCCAAAGATCCTACCACAAACCAGAGTTTAGTTGACTGGGTAAGTCAAAATACATGATGATGATGATACCATCGGATTTTCTTTTTGTCCAATAGATATTAGATAGGAAGTAAACTCCAAAATAACTGCAAGCTTGAAATTTCATTAGATTGTGAATTTTGATTATTCCTCAGGCGAGGCCATTGCTGGCTAAAGCAATTTCTGGAGAGAGCTTTGACCTTCTTGTAGACCCGAGGTTGGTTAAGAATTACGATACAACCCAGATGGCAAACATGGCTGCTTGTGCTGCTGCTTGCATACGCCAATCAGCTTGGCTTCGGCCCCGGATGAGCCAGGTCTGAGATTTAGTTGAAATACATGTATTCGTCCATATATCCGAAAGGAACAAGCCTAATTCATGAATATATATATATATATATCTCGAAAAAACTTGAATAGGTAGTACGTGCTCTTGAAGGCGAGGTGGCCCTAAGAAAGGTCGAAGAGACGGGGAATAGCGTGACCTATAGCTCTTCTGAAAACCCGAATGACATCACACCACGGTATGGAACAAATAAGAGGAGATTCGACACAAGTTCAAGCGATGGTTACACTTCAGAATATGGAGTTAACCCTTCTCAGTCGAGCAGTGAACATCAACTGATGAATACTTAGTTCACAGGTTCAATAGGGTAAGTTTCACCACAATTGTTGGGTTTTAGGATGCAGTCACCTTTTGGGTTAACAAAAAATGTTGTAAGAAAGTAGACTACTTCATTCATTTGTAGTTAAAGGTTCCGAGGAACACTGCTTGTGTTAATTTGGGGATTTGTTTATGTATAAATTGGTTGTAAACTTGTAATATTGGGGCACATGTTTAATTATGTTGCAAACACAAGTTTAATTATCTAACTTCTATTTCTCTGATTTCCAGTTTTTAACTTTATGACAGTACTATGAGTCTATGACAATGTCTACTCTTATCTTTTCGTAATATAGTTTTATTTTTTTGATAACCCAGTGTCCAGACCACACTGTGATCCGACTAGCCCACTGGGCCTAAACCCGCGTTCCTTGGATTTTTAAGCCTCCACTTAAGGGCCCCTCGGATCTGGTGGTCTGGGACGCTGCGCCCCGTAGGTAAATTGCGCAGTGGCCGAGACTCGAAACCGGGTGGCGGGTGCCTCAGCCGAGGTTCCTATACCACCAGGAGACAAGCACCCGGTTAAAACTGTATATAGTTTTATGATTATGACATTACTAAGGACAAGATAATGTATATGTTTTCATAATATTTTTTATTATTATATAGTAATAGCAGTTTTTCACATTATATTTAGGGGTCCGTAATAAGGCTAGGCTTGCACATTAACTGAGTATTAGGCATGATATAAGTACAATTTTCATTTGAAGAAAAGTTGACATGTTGAAACCCTAGGAATATCTCTCAACTTCTCGATGATCAATTCTTTCTTTTCAAGATCGAACGTGGGTCTCACAGAGATTGTCACGGTCTTTAAACAATCAGAATTAGCTAAGATATATGTCAAGAAGTCTTCCTCTTCTTCTCTGTTTCCATATCTTCTATACTCGAATATCTCGAGTTGTGACGACAAGCATCCAGCAAGAGAATTCGGTTGGTTCCATGAAAGTGGGATCCGATCGTGGGGGCTAAAGGTAAATTCCTGAGAAGCAATGATGGATGGCTATATTATTAAGCAAATTTTGACTAGTATTTAAGTCCACTAAAGCTAGAAGGGGATGAGGATAATATACTTACATAATTTACCGAAAGATCTTTAAGTTTTGGAGCATTTTCAAGTAAAAGTAAGAGTGGTTCCAACCAGTCTGAATTATGTGGACATATAATTAGCTTTATAAGTCGTGAGAAGTTGATGGTGCTACAACGCACAAGCTGCAACAAAAACAAACAACAACGCAATTATTAGATAAATCACGTCGAACAAGCTTGTTAGATAGATAAAGAGTTAGAGAGCTACCACTTCATCGGTCATAAACAAAACAAGAGACAAGACCTTGGAAATAGATGTCGTGGACTTGTTGTCGATATCAGTGAAAGACTTAACACTGATATCTGCCTTCTCAAGAAAAGGCATATTCTCGATCGACCAAGAGTCTCTTGAATGATCAGCGATTTGAAGCTCTATTAATGCCGGAGTATCGATAGCCAAACACCTACCAGTATCTGCTACACTAAAGTCTTGTGCCAGTGATGTAAGATCACAATTATCATACCATAAGTACTGTAAAGAAGGTACTTTCACACTAAAATTTGTCACATTGTCATGATTCTTGTTTCGTTTCACGTCCAAAAGTTCAAGAACAGGGCAGCTCGATAAGAGCCTAACAAGAGAAGCCTCGTCTTTATACACCACATAGAAAAGTTCAAGAGTGAGAAGGGACGGGAGGCAAGCAGAAGAAGGGAAATCCACAAGAATCTTGTGAGAGAGTGTAAGTTCCTCGAGTGTTTCGCAGGAGTAGAGACTCTTAGGCAATCTGGTTGGACATGCGGACCAGCAAAGTTTGAATTTTAGCACAACCACGCGGCGATCAACAGCCTTTGTAAGCCATTTTCCGACATCAGCATCACTAGGACATCCTGGACCAAGTTTAATAAGCAAGTTTTCTAAGACAGGTGCTTTGTGGAGTTCCATTGACTTGTCAAAAAACCACCAAATGCTCTTCTCGCTGTTATCATCATCATCATCATCATCACCACCAATATCATTATCATTAAAAGAACAATCATCATATCTGTTTTCTTTGTAGTCAAGTCTAGGCAACATCATCCAGAGAAAGCGCCATCGTTTAGACAAAATCATGGTGGCTACTGCATCTTTAATCGGGACAAGCAAGAGTATCGTCACAAGTAAATCTTCGGGTAAAACACTGATCATGTCTCCACAAACTGTCTCTTCAATCTTGGCTTCTGCCATCTTCACGAGGCAAATTAAAAACCCCAGGGAGAAGGCAAAACCCTACCTAATTAATAGAATATACTTCTCGTGAGACCAAAATCTAATTAGATCCCCACATAAATAGGTTTAACTTATTTTTTTCTGATAATTTATGAATAGAAAAGGTTTTGTGTTCGGGCTTTAACGTTGTTGGTCCAATCAATTTTATGTATTTTGAGTTGGGAAAATCGTAATCGAAAACATCAAAAATATCCAAAGAAATCCATCAACACTTCTTAGTTATGTTATTCTAATGTATCTCTCTTTTTCCATACAAATTTTTAATAAAGTTATGAGTTAGTAATTTCTAACTAGTATGAGTTTTTCAATCAATTTTTTTTTTTTATGTTCAGCTGTTCCACATTGTAATGATCCAAATATTAATGTATTTACGCATTTTGTAATTGGCTATGGTACACCAATACTATTACTATCATGCTATGTGTAGACTTCAATCCAAAAGAAAGTTGCTCAGTTATCAACATACAAACAAAACATACTCAGTTCATTCATTTACTCAGTTGCTCACTTTTACTCAGTTTCTCAGTTCATTCATTTACCTTTCTGCCTTTGAGCTTCCTTATCACAGCCAATTAGCTCATTGTTCATGCTCAGAGTTCGATTTGCCATTGTCAAGTCCCTCTGATAGATCCTGGTTTTTTCAGCTCTCTCCTGGCTTTGTATCTTCTTAAGCTTTGCCCACTCTTCACGTCTCTTTCTTTTCACTTCCAAGTTTAGCTTCAGTTGTTCTTCAGTGAGGACAACTTCTTCTTCCTCCTCTACAACTTCCACAGGCACAATCGCTTCCTCCTGCTGCACAATCTCTTCCTTCTTCTCATCTTGAGCAACTTTCTTCTTGTTCTGTTTGCGAAGCTTTTCCATCATTTTCTTTTTCGTAGCCTGAAACACCTTATCCATCAACTCCTGTGGTGTCTGTGTCATAAACAGTGAAATCGAAAATATATATATATAAGTAAAAGAAATTGAAACGAAACCGAGTAGAGGAAGAACAGTGGATAAAAAAAAATGAACAGTAAATTTTGAGTAGAAGAAAGTCAAAATCAAAAAAGTTTAAGAGATCAAATCAAATGAAATCAAAGATAAGTAAAGAACATCAAACGAAATCGGAGTAATAGAAGAACAGTGAATCAAAAAGACGAACAGTGAAAGAGGTGACATCAAATGAAATCACCTTATAGTCTGGATCTTCGCTGAGAGTCCACTTATCTTCTTCCAATTTGCTGATGAATTTTTCCAGGAAACTACAGATGAAACGATGGAGTCAAAATCAATCGGTAACCACAGATCAAACGATGGAGTCAATAAGCTACGCATCAAATTTTCCGGGAAACTACGATCAATTTTTCCAGGAAACTACGAATCAACTTTTCAAGGAAACTACACGAGTCAAAACCAATCAGTAACCATAGATCAAACGATGGAGAAGCTATGCATCAAATTTTCCGGTAAACTACACATCAAATTTTCCGGTAAACTAAACATCAAATTTTCCGGGAAACTACAGGAATCAAAACAAATCCGTAACCACAGATCAAACGATGGAGTCAAAAAGCTATGCATCAAACTTTCCAGGAAATTGCGCATCAAACGATGGAATCAACACTCATCGGTAACCACAGATCAAATCATGGCATCGAATTTTCCAGGAAACTACATTCAAATTTTCCAGGAAAGAACAAAGTAAAAGAGAACGCACCTCTCAGGAATGCGTTCGTCGGAGCGATTCTTGCAGAATAGACTGAGATCGTTATCATCTGAAGCACCAAAGAAGGAGTTCCAGAGATCGTTAATGCCATCGCGCAAATGATCCCAAGGTTTTTTCTCCGCCATTGTTAATGGTGAAAGCTTGAGAGAGAGAGCGAGGAAGAAAATGGAGGAGAAGGAGAGTAAAATGATATCTAACCGCCTAAGAGGAGGTGCGATGATAAACATTTTTCTGTTAACGCTTTTTAACAGCCTTAGATGAGGAGCTCGGATCATCTGCGACGCAGGGTGGGATCATCTGCGACGCAGGGTGGGATCACCTGCGACGCAGGGTGTGATCAACTGTGACGCAGGGTGGGATCACCTGCGACGCCGCAGCCTCCCTACGGAATCACCTCAAGTGTGGCGAAAAAAGATTTCCACCGGATTCGGAAATAAGATCCGGTGGTAGGAAGAAATTGGCCGCCCTGAAGGAGGAGTTGGAAGACATATGTGCGGAGGACCACTCCATCGGAACTGAAAAATTTGCTGAGATTTTGAGATCTCTGGTCGAGAAAAAGAAGAAGAAGAAGAAGAAGATGTGCAAGAAAATGAGAATTCTGTTTTATTATTTTGTTTTTATATTTATCTTTGGTCAACTCTGACAACCCTAAATCTGGGCGAGATGGGCTTATGTATTAATGTTCCTTAGCCCCTTTTAAGCCCATTATCGTCTCACAAGCTTGTATAAGTGACACGATGTCGTTTCATCTTAATTATGCGAAATCTTTTCTCTCTCTACTTAATTATTAACAGCAGCTTCATGTTATTGACCGTCTCGATATGTTATTAACTTATTATTGATACCTTGGTTAAGCCTTTAATTTCTTAATTGCACATGTAATTATAACGTTGTCATGTTATCACAAGTAGATAACAATATAAAAGCTTGTGTTAGTTAAACTGGGGGTCCTTTTTGTATAAATTTGTTGAAACTGTTTTGTTCATTTGTTAAAACTTTATCTAATATGCAGCAAGCTATTAATTTATTTTTTATTGAAGAAAATGATAGAAGTAGACATCGAAGAAGAACTTTTCTAAAAATATAAACTGATCCCGTCGAACTCGTTTACTTGGCTCGTTGAATTTTACAAAGCATCTTTTTCTATATATAGATCAATCTATTTTTGCTGTGTGTTAAGAATATTTATTAGAGTGTTGATGACGAAAATGAATACTTGTAACCAGAGTAAAGATTAATCAATAAATTTCTGCAAGTATCAGAAATATAAAGATTTCTATCAACTTTTTTTAGTCATGAAATTTGCTACTTGGTTTTTAGTTTCTTATGTTCTTATCTTTCTCGTTCTTTGCGCTTGTAAAGGTAATATATACTGAATGTTTTCTTTTGATTTTGTTTCGTTACTTGCGGAATATAAAACATTGATCGTTACAAATTAATGGCAAAAAAAAATAACAGTGTTGCCATTAGAAAAAAAAAACAAAAACAAAAATATTGGTCTAGAAAAACGTTTAATTTTGGTTTTCTTGCATTGTCAATATATTGTTTATCTAAATAGATTCAACCAAAAACTAACTAACAATTCTTGTTGTGGTTGATATAAAATCATAGAAGTGGAAGCTCAGGAACTGTGTAATAGAATAGAAGACATCGATGGAAATTGTGACTTTCAAGGAGAGAAGGGGTGCTTGAAATTCATGACGAATAAGTATAAGAAAGAAAGACATGTTAGCTGCAAATGTACTAACCTTTACATGTTACACAAGACCAAACGTTTTTGCGACTGTAAACATCGATGCTCAAAATAAACTCCATAATAACCAAACATTGCTTTTACTCTTTTTACTAATAGCGAAGTTATGAGAGGTTGTAGTGTTGTCATGACCCATAAATAAGTTATGTTATTCTAATGTCCCTCTCTCTCCTTTTTTCATATAAAATTTTAATAAAGTTTTGAGTTAATTCTTTCTAATTAAGTAGTAAGTAGGATATATGAGTTTTTTTCAATCAATATCTATTTTCCATGTTCTCGTTGTTATCCAATTATTAATGTATTATATTTACGCATTTTGTATTGATGTAATTTTAATACAAATTGTTTTATTAGTGTGAAAAGCTTGTGGACAAACAAAATTAGTATTAATTAAACACAATAAATTGTAATGTTTCAATATAATTAATACAAAAAAAAGTTCACTTCCTAAGCTTTTTTCTTATGGATAACATCCTCGCTGAACTTCCTCGATAATCTCCCCCACGTCCTCTTTAATTATAGGAATTTGTCATCCGCCTATGTTTCGACGGTACTCTCCACGAGTTATTCCTACACAGCCTGAATGTTTTCCCATGGTCTGCTTTAGCAATTCCTTGCTACTAGGATTGATCTCAGTGACAATCCGAAAATTTGTTTTATGATTGAACGTGTGATGGATTTTGTCAGTTTAGAATTGTAATAGTTTATATGGCATGTTTTAAAAAGAATAGGTGATGTGTCATCACAATTAGTACACACGCAAAAAAAAAAAAAAGTGAAAATAATAAGTAGATTTTCGAAGAAGAATTTTTCTAAAAAGAAAGAGTTGATCCGTCGAACTCGCTAATTAAGAAAATGGCTCGTTGAACTTATTTTCCAAAACATAATTCTAAAAAAAGATGCATCTATTTTTACTGTATCTCGAATATATTTATTATGAGTGTTGTTGAGAAAGAAGATAAATTCCGAGAGGCAAACAACTATAGAGATAATCTTTCTTGTGATCAGTTTTCAAATCATGAGATCTGTTACTTGGTTTATAGTTTCTTATACTCTCATGTTTCTCGTTATGAGAGGTGGTAAAGGTAATATGTTAGTTTTTTGTATGTTACTCGGATAATAAACAATGATGTTCTTTCTAATTGCTTTGCGATAAAGAAAACAAAAGTATTGTTCTAGCATATATGTTTAATATTGAAGTTATTGCACTGTCATTTGTTTATCCAATTAAAGTTTTGGTAACTAAAATTAGCGTTTTGTTGTTGTTGTTGTGTGGTTGATAAAACAATAGAAGTGGAAGCAGAGAAACTGTGTACAACAATAGGAGACTTGGACGGTAAATGTAGCAATGACGGAGAAAAGGTGTGCATGAGATACATGACGAATCAATCTAAAAAAAAGTTTCTTACTTGCACATGTAATAACGTTGTCATGTTACACAAGTACAAACATTATTGCGAATGTAAATCTCATTGTACTCCAAAATAAATTTAAGTTGTAACTCTATAATATAATCAACATCTCTTTAATTTACTACTAAATAAGAAAAGTTGTTAGAGTTTGTACTAAAAAAAAATTATGTTGATTCAAGTATTAATTTTTTGTTCAAGTCTTTATCTTGAACATTGGAAAAAATCATGAAAATATTGATCAATTGCCAACGAAAGGACGTAATATATTGCTGAAATATAAAGTGTAGTGGGGGTGAATGAGATAGTACAGGATTATTCGGGGCAATTTTGCTATATTCTGAAGCATAGTGGGTCGGGTTAAATTGATAGTAATAAAAAGTTCAAGGGCTATTACGAAAATACAAAAAAATTAATGGCAATTGACTCGAAAACTTAGAAGAAAATGGAAACTGTGTCTCACTAAACCCTAGTCCCCTTTCTCAAATTTTCTTCTCTCTTCCTCCTCTCGACCTCTCTCTCTCGAGCCAGTGAACAATTATGTCGATTCCTTGTCTAACCGAAGAGACAGCCAAAACTGTTATTCGCCAGGTTCAAACTTGTCTCCTTCTTCTTCGGTTTCTCTTTGGCTTCGCCAGTTTTTTCAATTATGTTCTGATATTTTGGTATCGATTTTTTAGGTGGAGTTCTACTTCAGTGATAGTAATCTTCCCATTGATGATTTCCTCAAGAAGACTGTTACAGAGAGTGAAGATGGATGTAAAGTTTCAAACTTTTAAACAAATTCAATCGCTGTGTTTTTTGATTTTTGTTATTGTTAATTGATTTTTTTTTGGTATGTGAAACAGTGGTGAGTTTGGCGTTGATTTGCTCCTTTAGTAAGATGAGAGGATATTTAAAGTTGGGTGATTCTAAAGGAGATGATATTCCTGAAGATACCATCAAAGCTGTTGCTGCTACTCTTCGAACTTCTTCTGCTCTCAAAATCTCAGAAGATGGTGAGTCTTTTAAGCGTATGATAGAATCAAATTTATAGTGTGATTGGATATAGTTAACAATTGCTTTAGTTGATTTAAACGAAGTAGTGAAATCTTAGAAGAAAGATAGGTGTTTGAGAGTTTCAAATATAGGTGAATGGCCTGTGTAGTGCAATTTAAACTTAGTTTCATTGAGAAAAGTCTTTGCATGTGGAATTTACGAATTTGATAATATGTGGTGTTCAGATTGGAGAATTATGTTTTCTTACAGTTTATTGATCAATTTTGTTGGATTTGCTTAAACAGGGAAAAAGGTTGGTAGGAGTACTGAATTGTTGAAGCTGGAAGATTTGATTGAGCAACTTAATGCTAGGACAGTAGCTGCGTCACCTTTCTCCTATGATGTTAAAAGAGAAGATGTGGAATCCTTTTTCAGTCAGTATGGGAAGGTAAGCCACTATTGAATTATAAGTATTTTGCCATTGTTCAAAATTTATCACAAGTATTAACAGTTAGATTACCTGGTTATACAAGTTTGTGATATATGTATGTGTTTCCCTTACAGGTTAATAGTGTGAGGATGCCTCGTCATGTAGCAGAGTCGAGGATATTTTCTGGTGTTGCCTTGATTGAGTTCCCTACAGAAGAGGATGCCCAGAATGTTATGAAGCAGAGTTTGGTCTTTGCTGGTCAGGAGTTGGAGCTGAAACCAAAGTAATCATACTTGGACATGAAAACATGTCCTGTTTGCTGACTGTTTCTCATTTTTACAAGTCTTTCTATTGATTGTTTGGATGGGTTACTTAAAGGTGATATTTTCTTTTCAGGAAAGAGTTTGATAATGAAAGGGAGAAGGATGAAGTAAAATTTGCTAATTACCAACCTCAAAAGGGATCTGCAAATCAGAAGAATGGTTCCGATCACAAAAACAATTCTGATTATGAGCCAGAGTAGGGGTTTGACTGTTGCTATTAAATTTCTTGTCTTTTCTTTCTGATAGTTGTCTTGATCTGATTTTGGGTTTTTTTTTTTTAATGATATTATAGTTATCCCAAGGGTTTGATCATTTCATTCACCCTGAAGCGCTCAGCTGAAGAGGGTACCACGGAACAAAAAATTTCTGAGGAGACAACTGATAAAACAATGGATGAAAGTGAATCAAAGCCAGCAGATACTCCTGATGCTGATAAAGAAAACACTGATGAGGTTCAGGCCCAGGGAGCAGAGGATGAAGATGATGAGAAAGAAGAAAAGGGTGCTCTAGCTACCCATAAAGATAATAAAGATGTTGTCTTACGTGAAGATCTTAAGGCTGTTTTCGGAAAATTTGGTGATGTCAAGGTACTACATCAGTTTTACTTAGCTGTCTGTCTACATGAATCAGATTCAATATCTCATATAACTCACATCATTCTCATATAACATTATTTTTGGTTTATTACCCATTATTGATACTGATACCTTAATTCTTTTTATTGTGAAGTTTGTGGATTTCAAGATGGGATCTGAGACGGGTTACCTTAGGTTTGATGAACCTGAAGCATCCCAGAAAGCCCGTGCAGCAGCAGTATTAGCCAAAGAAGGTGGACTAGCTGTGAAGAATTTTATCGCTGTCCTAGAACCTGTTACCGGTAAAAGCACTTTTTCAATCCATCTTATCTTTTAACTAAACATTTGGTCTGCTTTAGTTAAATGGTTGCTTGTTTATAATGTTGTGCTGTCAGGCGAAGCTGAAAAGGAGTATTGGACTCTCCTTCGCAGCAAAGATAGGTTTGACAAGGGTGGCCGTGGAGGAAGGTGAGTTCATGTTTTGGTTCGGGTTTCTTTGGTATAAAATGGTTATGATTTGGTTTCAAATGAAGTTCTGTGTGGTTTATATAATAATATACTCGGTCATGGTCTATGCAGGGGAGGAAGAAGAGGAGGGAGATTCGGGCGTAAGAGGGGATCGGATTCCCCGGGTGGTCGCTGGAATAAAGCTCAGAAGGTGGAAGCATGAGAGCTTTCTTTGGACTTTGGCTCTCTTTAGCTCGTGACTGCTTCTGTTTTTAATATATTTCTAGTTGCAACTTTAATTTTATGTATACATCACAGTCAAAACCGTATCTCTCTACCTGTGACTCTTGTGATGTTATAACTAGAAGTAGCTGCTTGTTTAGCAAATTTTGGTTTAGTCATATTTGGTTTTGTTTTGTTTGCGCAAGAATTTAGCTTTACTACTAACTACGTTTTCTTTTTCTATCATGTGCCTTCATATGCGACATTTCTCTTTGACTCTTTCCTTAATTATTTTAAATCGATCTTAAGGTAATTTTGGGAAGCTTTCTAAAAGACAAACTATTATTAACTGCCAAAAGTATTCCTTAAAAATTCTACAACTGTATTATTAACTCACTGATAATATTAAATGGATTTTCTACTAGAAGTAGTTAAAATTAATTTTGAAAATCAAATAGTTTTGGTATTCTTGGTCTTCTCGTTTGACTTTGTACACATTGTTTTTAGGGTTTAATGCTGATTTTAGAATTAGCTGTTACTGGCAATTTCATGAGAGAACTGTTCTTTCATAGCTTCGAAAAACAAGAAAAAATGCTTGCTATTTGAATGTTGTTTAGAAGAGAAAAACTAAGACACAAAAATAAATAAATAAGAAAAATGAACTTTATGGGAGAGACTAGACTAAGCTAGATTCAGAGATTGAAATCAACGGCTGAGATCACTTTCCCTTTTTGTTTTGATCGATCTCTGATCTCTCTCTCTCTCTCTCTCTCTCACTTCGAATTCCGCCTCTCCATGTTTGAGTTTTGAATTCCTCTCTCTCTCTCTCTCGACTTCGATTTCGATTTGTGTTCTTCTTCTTCTTCGTCTGGATTCACAGCGTCTTAATTACTTTGATTAATCTGGATTTCGTGGATCTGCAAGTTGTGACCTTTACTCGTATGACCTTGTCTCCTTCTCTTATGCTCACATTTTGGTTAGTTTTCACGGAGACTTCTTCCTGATTTTTGAACCAACATCCCAAAATCTACTCTTTGAAGCTTCTCTTACTTTTTTTCGTCAAAAGGTTCGATTTTGTTCATAGCAAGTCCGAAGCTTTTTCTGGAGGTTTTTGTTTTGGGTTCTGAAACTAGTTCAAGCTTCTTATCTTAGGTTTTATGGATCCAATCTCATAATATAAAGCTGCCTTCTTCATTCGATTTTAGTTTCTGGGAATGTTTGCTCTCTTGCTGAGTTATCGTATATTTATGTTAAGCTAAAGCTGATAGTTTAGTCCGACTGTGTTTTTGATTTTATGGTTTATCTTTGTTTCAGATTGTAGCATTGTGCTTCGCTTATGATGATTTGTAAGTCATATCAAAGAAACCGACTTTGGGGTTTTTCATATCGCTTTCCTTGCTAACTATGAAGCGTGAGATGAAAGCTCCTAATACTCCACAAGAGAGTCTCCAAGTCAACCTGAAAGGAAAACAAGGGTACGCTCACTTCTCAGTTCCTTCTCTTTTCTTGGGTTTCAATGTTGAAGTTAGATTTCTTTTGGCACCAAATTTTGCATTCAACTAGGCATTCTCAGGTTAATAATGTTGCAAGCTCTTTGTGACATTTTCACAGGAGGACATCTGGCCCTGCAAGACGATCCACCAAAGGACAATGGACACCCGAAGAGGTTCGTTCAGTTCCTGTGTCTTGTTTGTTGTCTATCTGATTCTTCCATGCTTCATTTCATGTATCCCGGAACACTGGCTGAGCGTAATCAGTTGGCTCTCTCACACCCTATTGTTGCTTTGCACAGTTCCATTTAACTTGTTGTCATTAGCTAATGCACCTATTGAAGAATTTGTCTCTATGAAGTTTTCTGTTAGATTAATTCTGTTTTTCTGGATCAGGACGAAGTTTTGTGTAAAGCTGTTGAGCGTTTTCAAGGAAAGAACTGGAAGAAGATAGGTAAGTCGAATAGCAAACTCTGATTTCTTCTTGTTTCCCAGTTTATTTTTCCAGGGTATGTGAAGATCAAATCAAGAATATTTATTTTAGCTGCCATGTTTATTTGTAGTCTTTAGTTAGTATGGTGAAAGCAATGTGTGATTTTATTTGATTCACCTTTTCAGCTGAATGTTTTAAGGATCGGACTGATGTCCAGTGTCTTCATAGATGGCAAAAGGTCTTGAACCCAGAGCTTGTGAAAGGACCGTGGTCAAAAGAGGTGAGTTGGTGAATTGCTTTACTCAATTTGAGTCTTTTACACCTTAGCATCTGTAATGTGTTCCATGACATGTTATTTTTCCATATTTTTGAAGGAGGATAACACAATAATTGACCTGGTTGAAAAATATGGGCCAAAGAAATGGTCTACTATATCTCAGCATTTACCTGGGCGCATAGGAAAGCAATGTAGGGAAAGGTAATGCACATTCTCTGTACTTCTTTTCCGATAAAATGATATTTATATACATTGGGTGGTACTTCGACGCACATGAACAATATTTTGGCTGATGTAGGTGGCATAACCATCTTAACCCTGGGATTAATAAAAATGCTTGGACTCAAGAAGAGGAACTTACTCTTATTCGTGCGCATCAAATTTATGGGAATAAATGGGCAGAGCTTATGAAATTTTTGCCAGGAAGGTAAATATGTCTCTTCCATGGGTCCGAGTATAACAGCATAGGTGTAACATGTTCCTAAAAATTTGGTGGCTTCGTAGATGGAATAAAAAATTTGATGCTGATAATTGTGGTCTATCCTTCCTACTTTGGTGATTTGCTTATTTGTTCTTACCTTCCCATAGGTCAGATAATTCGATAAAAAATCACTGGAACAGCTCAGTTAAGAAGAAGTTGGATTCCTACTATGCATCAGGTCTTTTAGATCAGTGTCAAAGCTCGCCATTAATTGCCCTTCAGAACAAATCTATCGCTTCATCTTCCTCATGGATGCACAGCAGTGGAGATGAAGGTAATTCAAGGCCAGGGGTTGATGCTGAAGAATCAGAATGCAGCCAAGCTTCAACTGTTTTCTCACAATCAACAAACGATTTACAAGATGAGGTTAAACCTGGAAATGAGGAATATTACATCCCTGAATTTCATTCAGGAACAGAGCAGCAAATCTCAAACGCTGCATCTCATGCAGAACTGTACTACCCTTCCTTTGAAGATGTCAAAATTGTTGTCCCCGAAATATCTTGTGAGGGAGAATGCTCAAAGAAGATTCAGAATCGTAATTGTTCTCACGAGGTTAGCACTACCACAGCTGCTGAGGATCAATTGCAGGGTGTATCTAATGATGCTAAACAGGACCTCGATCTAGATTTATTGACCCATAACATGGACAACTATGGAAAAAATCAAGCACTTCAACAAGCTTTTCAAAGTTCAGTAAGATTAAGTGATCAACCTTCTTTGCCAAACTCGGACACAGATCCAGAAGCTCAAACTTTGATCACGGATGAGGAGTGTTGTAGGGTTCTTTTTCCAGATACCGTGAAAGATAGCAGTATATCTTCTGGTGAGCAAGGTCGGAATATGGTTGACCCTCAGAAGGGCAAAGGATCTCTTTGTTCTCAGGCTGCAGAAACCCAGGCTGATGAAACTGGGAAACTTCCAGCTTTGTCCTGGCATCCTTCAAGTTCTGAGGGCCTGGCGGGTCATAATTGTGTCCCTTTGTTAGATTCAGACTTGAAGGACTCACTTTTACTCTGTAATGATTCCAACGCTCCTATACAAGGCTGTCACCTTTTTGGAGCTACTGAATTAGAACGTAAAACTGATACAAATGACGGTTTCATCGACACTGATGGACATGTAACTTCCCATGGCAATGATGATAATGATGGCATCCCAGAACAACAGGGGCTGTCATATATTCCAAAGGATTCTTTGAAGCTAGTACCTCTGAATAGTTTTTCTTCTCCTTCTAGAGTGAACAAGATTTATTTTCCTATCGATGATAAGCCAGCTGAAAAAGACAAAGGAGCTCTTTGTTATGAACCTCCACGTTTTCCAAGTGCAGATATTCCTTTCTTCAGCTGTGATCTTGTACCATCAAATAGTGACTTACGGCAAGAGTACAGTCCCTTTGGTATCCGCCAGTTGATGATTTCTTCAATGAATTGTACAACTCCGTTAAGGTTATGGGATTCACCGTGTCACGATAGGAGCCCTGATGTCATGCTTAATGATGCTGCCAAAAGTTTTAGTGGTGCACCATCCATCTTAAAGAAGCGGCATCGAGACTTGCTTTCACCTGTGCTTGATAGAAGAAAAGACAAAAAGTTTAAAAGGGCTGCGACGACTTCCTCCTTGGCTAATGATTTTTCTCGCTTAGATGTAATGCTTGATGAAGGAGATGATTGCATGTCCTCTCGTCTGTCAGAATCTCCTGGAAATGAAAATAGATGTGCCTCCCCTTCCAAAGCCAAAGATAACAGAAATTCTGCATCAGGTCGGTCAGATCAAGAAATGATTCCTATAGATGAGGAACCAAAGGAAACCTTAGAGTCAGGTGGAGTGACTTCTATGCAAAATGAAAAGGGATGTAATGACGGTGGTGCTTCAGCTAAAAATGTAAGCCCGTCTTTGTCCTTGCATATTATCTGGTATCACTTATTAAACCCCAGTCATCTCATGCAATGTCTGGTATACATTTATCGAGTCTATTAGTGAATTTCTTGTTGCATAACACAACAATCTAGTTTGTTGAAATCTCTTCCTGTGAAATCGTATCAATCACATTTGCTCAAACACATTGCATCTAGTGCTAAATCTCCAATAACTTAACCTTATAAGCTTTAATCTCTAGATCTCTTGCTTGCCCTTGCACCAGGACCAAGAAAATTCTGGAAGTTTTGTTGAGATACGACTGTGTTCTCCTGGTATGACTCGATCTAGACCAGATAACAAAGTTAATACAAGTGCGAAAGATCTATCAAACCAGCACAAAAGATCATTAGGTGATATTCCAACTGAAGAAATCTCATCAGAACCTTCATGCACAGTGGACTCTATTCCTTTATCAGAAATTGATAAAACTAACACTACAGAGACTAGCTTTGATATTGAAAACTTCAACATGTAAGTTTTACTTTTCCTCTGTATGTGTTTGGTAGGTGATTTTGCTGTTGAATCATATTAGCTGGAAATTATCCTAAGGTTGTTTTGGTTCCACTCGTTTTCCAGATTTGATGGAACTCCGTTCAGAAAACTCCTTGATACCCCATCACCGTGGAAATCTCCTTTACTCTTTGGTACTTTCTTGCAAAGTCCAAAGTTGCCTCCAGAAATTACATTTGAGGTAAATATGAGTTGGAATAACTTTGAATAAAACTAGTTTCTGGATTTTCTACTTTTTGTTTTAGATTGAAGCGCCTGTTGACAGACGTATATTCTTTGTTGTTTTTCTTTTCTTTTCTGTCCAGGATATTGGGTGTTTTATGAGTCCCGGCGAGAGAAGTTATGATGCCATAGGACTGATGAAGCATTTGAGTGAACACTCAGCTACGGCATATGCAGATGCCTTGGAAGTTCTGGGTAATGATACACCTGAAACGATACTCAAGAAGAGACAGCTGAACAAGTCCATTCAAGGGAAAGAAAATCAGCACCAGCCTCATGATCAGCTTGGAAACCGATCCCAGGTTTCAGCTTCAACTTGCACATTATATATCAAGTCCTCGACTTAATTCACCTGGTCTAGCTTAATGTTGAAATTGGATCTTGAACTTGGTAGAGATAAGAGGAATAACAGTTTGAGTTTGAGTTTACAAATTGACTTAATTCACTGTGGAATGCAGGTGGAGTGTCGCACCTTAGACTTCAGCGATTGTGGGACACCAGGGAAAGCGACGGTACCCTCGGCTTCTCCGGGAGGCTACTCGAGCCCATCATCATACCTTTTGAAGAGTTGCAGATAGTGAAGGCTGGTTTTGTTCATAGAGCTCTGAAGGGACATTCATTCTCGCCTTCAATTTTTTGATCTCATATGTGTATGTCTTTTTAATTCCATCTTTGTCCAATTTTCTTGTTGCTAATTTTTTTTTAATGTGTAGATCTCACAACTCTGGACATGATACAATTGATTAAATAGCGGAAAAGTAACTTGTTCTCAAGAAATTAACTTTGAACTCCAAAAGTTTTAAGAATTTTTCACAATAAGGATTCGTAAAACCAATAAAAAACCATCCAAGTTTTTTAGTATAACATCAAAGTTTATAATTTGATATCGTGGAGACACAGATTCTCTTCTTCTTTGGGGCTAGGGGAGTAGTTTATAGTAATAGTCCTTTATGATGCGATTAATGTTGATTTAAAGGTTATTGTACCATCAAAATGTATTGTTAGAAACCCAAGATTCCGACAATAACCAATGTAAACGATCAAAACCGACCATGGACTGCTCAAAAGACAGAACCAAACCCAATCTTGATGATCCACTGTATGTGTATCTACAACCGCAACACTCCTAACCGCTCTGATTTATCTTCCGGATCCAAATCTTCTCATGATCTGTCCATAAACAACATCAGCAGAAAGCAGAGACATGAAATGAACCCGAGAATGACCGAGAGCACAATTTGGTGAGCCCAATCTCTGAAGCAATCATCTTTGGAGGTTTGCATAAGTGTCATACCAAATTCTTTTTCTCAAGAATCAAGATCTTTGCCGGCTTGAAAGAGTATGAGTTACATTCGGCACTTCATTGTAAAAATCGGGTTCGTCTTCTTCATCAGATGATAACAAAGATGGTCCCATCCATGCTTTAAACCCCTCGTTCACTCGTCTTTCAACGTCTGGTGTGAATTCCAAAGGATTAGCTTCAAGCATCTCCAAGCCCTGATCATTTCTGTTCCCAAACTCTCCTTCGTCAATAGTTAAAGCAGCTCTTCTTCTTAGGGAGAAAGCAGTTCCAGCATACAAGATTACCAAACCCCATGAAGAAATCTCGTAGCACCAAAACAAAGGCACAGAACAGCTGCTTCCTAGTGTCAGGAGGCTTGAGCCGAGAAATATAGCAAGTAGACCATAGATGATAGCAAAGACAACATTCAGAATTGACAGACAACGGACCCCACCTGTGAATTTATTGGACATGATAAAGAAGGTCAATAACCTATTTGAGGTCCAAGCTTAGCGATAGGAAACTCTGAAGAGCCCAGATTCTCAAAGGTAGAAACATTGTAATTACTAGCAGATGAAATAGAATTATACATAAAATTTTATAAAATAAAGTCTGGCACTGAATGAATGAATCTATTACACGAATGCATGGAATATACAAAACTCAAATATGGAAAGCTATTAAAGAGAGAAGAGAGTATACCTCTTCTTGAAGCACAGTAGTTATTTTCAACTACTTTTAAAAACCCATGACGGTGAGGAGCAGAATAAGCCACAAAAATTCCTGCAGTATTGCAACAAAATAGCGAGAATATAAGAAGAAGACATACCACACCTTTATGAAAAGATGAACAAAAGAGAACACAAATGAGAAATTGTAGAGAGGTATAGTCACTCAGGATAATAAAGCATTTAAAAACGTTTCATTGTTGTGGGAGTTAATTCTTGAAGGACAGAACGAAAAGAGATAATAGATGGGACTCGACTCCAAAAGTTCAATTTACAAGTAAAATAAAATTCTGGTGGTAAACAAAGCTGGCTCAACTTTGATACATCTCTCTTATCATTCAAACTGAAAAGTAAGAATCCTCAAAACTTAGAGAATTAGAACTTAGAAGGGCTGCCATGTGGAGACAGAAAGCTATAAAGGACATAAATCAGATCCACCAAGTTTCTTCCATATAAATTCAAATTCCAACAAAATCTAGCAGAGGTCAGAGGAATTAACTAGATTTAGCAAAGTCCACAGTTTGCTCTATGGCTAAAACCTCTAAACCCCAATAAACCTGAACCATCACAGAACTAGCCCTGTCTTTATATAGTGGCTTCAATCAAAAAAGATGATTTTTAGGACTAAACCTAACAACAACCATTCAGATTTTGAGGACACATCAATCTATCAACCCTCTGGCAATATTTTACCTCACCAATAATCGAAAAAGTCAGAAGCCATTTGCCAGAAATGTGCCAGGCATCAAGAGATATCTACCGTAAAAGCCACTCAGAACTGAGCATCATCGAATGACATCAGAGAACAAAACACAAATGCAAGCCCAGCTCTGGAGATATGAAAGAACAAAGAACAAAATGTAGAGACTTGACGCTCACCTGCTACAAGATAAACAGATGATACAAGGAAGATTATGGTCGAGGGAACGAAAACGACCATCCAGTAATAATCAACAGTTTCTTGATCCGTCAAGTAAAAAGCACCAGGAAACAGATCGGAGTCACGAGCTTTGCCATAGATAGGCAAAGGTTGTAGCTTCACGTCGCTGCAAAATGGTCTCTTTAGAACATTCGAAGGAAATACAATTTTCAAGCTGACGATCGTGCAAGTGAAGATGACAAAGCTAAGTAAGGCCACGATCGACATTAATGTCGGCCTCTGAAGCTTAATCCAGGCTCTATCTTCTTCCCTAAGGCTCTCGTACTCTTGCTTTGGCATAAACGCTTGACGCAACGCGTCTCCGATGATCGCCATTGAAAGAAGCAATAAAAAAAAACCCTAATCCACAATCGAATTAGACCCTTTTCACCAGACTGATTTCAGTAATTCACGAAGAAATCAAAAATAGGGTTTTTCGAAGTTTATCAGAAGCCCTAGATAGATCAATGAACTCCGAATTGGGAAATGAGGAAGTAGAATTGAGAAGGTGACACAGAAACAATTAGGCGCGTGTAAAGGGTACGTGCTTTGATAACTTCTGTATAATTACAGATTGACCCCAATAGTTTGTTGAAGTTAGAATTTATCCCTATTTCCCGCTCAATTATATCGTAATCATAGAATTAGAATATGCTTAGCTTAGAGTCCTGATTATTTCAACTGATGAAGTTAGAGCATCAGCAGTGGCAAAACCATGAGGATAGATGTTAATAATAGATTTATTATAAAATTTATTGAAGAGAGAGGAGGAGAATTGGCAGGCGGAGAGAGAGAGAGAGGAGAGATATAGAGAGAGATTTCTTTTCCACCACTCAAATCTTGCCACATGGGCTTTACACCCGATGCATACAACTTGCAACTTAACACCCGTTTCTCATTTCTACACACTCAATTCTAATATTTTAGGTTTTTTTATTACTCACACCCGGGCAAATGTGTTGCCACTGCGCATGGTCTTAGAATTAACACTCCTGTATATAATTTTTTTTTTTATAAAACTCAATTATTTATGCAAGTAGATGAATACATCTAACATAGAAAGTGATAGTCTAATGTGTAGCAAGTCGGTTTAGGTTTGTATCACACCAATCACTAAATAAGACAAAATGTTTTTTTTATGATAGAATTTTGTAAGATGTGGATTTTTTTATGATAGAATTTTTCAAGTGATAATTCATATTTAATTTTATATGTGTACACTCGTAATCGCTGGTTAAGTTTGTTTTGTAAATTTTTTACATCGGTCATTGAAAAACAAACAGTGAGAATCGACCAATCAGCACTTACGATAAGGATTTTAGTTTCAAACTGTAATGTTTCATCTAAATGACTTAAATCTAATTTAAATAATTAGATTTGGATCACATTATTTAGCACCCAAAAAAAAAAAGCAAAAGAAAGAAAAAGAGATAACTAACATTTACCGTTAATGAAACGATGACCGTCGGATTTATTGGTGGGTCAAACCAACGGCCCGATGAAAAGCAATGACCTGAATTGGTGTAACTATCCAAACACAACGAGATGAACACGTGGCAATCCTTTAGTGGACCTTTTTCCAAAAGATATTCGACTATTTGTTTTTCGTTTTTCCTTTTTTGCTTATTTCGTGGAAAATAAAAATGATCTGATCATCTGAAGAACAGGAGGAAATATATATTTAAAAAATAACATTCAGAATTAATAATAGGAAAAAAAAGATTTCTACTAGAAAGAGAGAGAGAGAGAAGGGCGTGAATTCCTGAGCAAGAGATTCTTCGCCGGAGTAATCTCTTTGCGTGATCTTACGGCTGCTTAATTCTTCTTCGCCTGATTAAAGCTTATTTGTCTCTCTCTTTCTATCGGAGGTTAATTTTTTCTGTTTGGGGGTCAAAGCAAAGATGGTGAACGCTATGGTGGAGAGAGCGACGAGCGAGATGCTGATCGGACCTGATTGGGCTATGAATCTCGAGATCTGTGATATGCTCAATAGCGATCCAGCGTATGTTGCCCTCTGCTTCATCCGATTTTAGATTTTATTAATTCCTTCTCTCTCTGTCTTCCTTTTGTTTTCTATACTTCTCGATTAGTCTCCTGAAAACTATTGAAACTCTCTATTCGGATTTGGATTTGTGCTTGGTCTTTTGGTTCAGTGGGAGAGCTAACACTAAGATTGAAATCAAATTGCGTGTTTTTTTTTTTACCGAAGTTGGATATTTCCATGTTTCCTAGGACCAATTGGAATACTTGTGGCCTACTGTTTGCTCAATTTTGGCCTAGGTTCAAGAAAAACAGATAATTTTTATTAGGGCTCTAGTGTTTTTGTTTCTGTTTATGCGTCTTTGGGATTAGAGTTGCTGCAGTAGTTGTGGAACAAAAGTTACTCATCTTTCATAGGGCTTTATTGTAAAGGCTGGGAAGTGATTTCCTTTTTATGCTTTGTGCTTGGGAGAAGGATATTTCAGTGTTTATACTACTAATTGGACCAATCCTATGTGATGTCTCAAACCGGTTACTGTTTTGCAGGCAAGCAAAAGATGTTGTGAAAGGCATTAAAAAACGGATTGGTAGTAGGAATCCAAAAGCTCAACTTCTTGCCTTAACTGTGAGCTCCTAGATAACTGTCTCCTTTTTATTTTCCTTTATCGTTACTTCATTGAGATAACCACTGTTGTTTCTGTAACTGTACATTTAGATAGCTTGTTTCTTTAGTTACGCATCTAGCTTCAATTTCCAATGCTGTTGGCAGTCGTCTCTTTATCAGTGGAACTTGACATGAACAGAGATTATATGACTTACAAGTTTCCTAACAAGAATGATATCCTTATACATTATTTTCACATAACTTCATCTTTCTCTTTTGTTTTGCGATGATAGTATATTCACTCATCATGCATTTGTTATGTTCTAGCTGCTTGAGACAATAGTGAAGAACTGTGGTGACATGGTTCATATGCATGTGGCTGAGAAGGGTGTTATTCATGAAATGGTCCGGATAGTTAAGAAGAAGGTAAGGGTTCTTCCGAATTGATCTTGTTGGGAATAATTAACTCTCTCTTTCTCTCTCCCTCCCTCTGCCTCTCTAATCCAAATTGGCCTGATGCATATAGCCGGACTTCCATGTCAAAGAGAAGATCCTGGTCCTTATCGATACATGGCAAGAGGCCTTTGGTGGCCCTAGGGCAAGATATCCACAATACTATGCAGGATACCAGGAATTGTTGGTATGTCTACATAAATTGTCGTTTGATATACTTTTTTGGGTTTCATTTTTTTCCTTCAGTAGAGTATTGTTTCTGATTCTGGGTGTCCAGATGTCTCATACTGAAGTTTTATTATGTCTCATAATGAATTCTTCTTAGATCCTTTTGTGAGTTCTGTTAGAAAATCTTCCACTACTCTTACCTAACCACTAGTGCTGACTCATGTCTCTTCCAGCGTGCTGGGGCTGTTTTCCCTCAGAGATCAGAGAGATCAGCTCCTGTGTTCACACCTCCACAAACACAGCCTTTGACGTCTTACCCTCCAAATCTTCGTAACGCTGGACCTGGTAATGATGTGCCTGAACCTTCAGCAGAGCCAGAATTTCCGACCCTAAGGTAGATATCTTCAGTTGCAACGGTGAAGTTTTTAAGTTCATAAATTTTTAACAAAAGCATAGAATATTTTGTTGGAAAAATTTCAATGTCCTTGCGTTATCTGACAAATTTTTGTAAGATACGTTTAGCTACTTTTTGTTCAGTTGAAATGTAATAGCGAAAAGGAACCCTATATATAGGATGAATCGAAGTAAAGAGGTGATTAGAATCAAGAAAATAATTACAATTAAGCAACAGCCTTTTAGTATTTGCTCAATGCACGCATTTGTAGTAATGGAGTTTCAATTTTTTTCTTGTAAGACTTAATACGAATGTTCGCTCAGGTCTGCTAGTTTTAACTTTGTGTCTGTTTGCTTGCTTTATTTAGGACGTAAATGTATGCCTTTGTTGCTCAGGATTTATTGCTTCTCAAAATTTTATTCTGCTGTATGTCAAATTCTTTTTCAGTTTGTCGGAGATTCAAAATGCAAAAGGTATCATGGATGTGCTTGCGGAAATGCTGAGTGCATTAGAGCCCGGAAACAAGGAGGTAACACGATTTAGTTGCAGAGTGTTTTCACTACCTGTTTGCAAGTGTTGGCTATAGTCCAAAACATACTAAATAATGATCATTCTTCTCTTTTTTGGATTTATTCAGGATCTCAAACAAGAGGTGATGGTGGATCTGGTGGAGCAGTGTCGTACATACAAACAAAGAGTGGTACACCTCGTCAACTCGACTTCGTAAGAGCTCTTCATTTTCCTCTTCGGTTCCATTTGGATAACTCTTTCATGTCTCATATAAGTTATATGGCTTGGAGTGCGATAAGATCTCTTTTTATATTCTCATCTTCTAATATGCATACATAGTACCGATTCAGCAGGGAATAATTGTTTTTTATACATGGGTGTATAACACCAAACAATGTAATGTGTGTGAACTTCCATGGTAATTCAATTGATCTTTGAAGAGGCACAGATGGTGTGTATTTAGTGGCCCAAATACTCCAGATCTACTTAAGTATATAAAGTAACCATAGTTTATTCTTCTATTTAACTTTTGACCATGGGTTATAGCTGGTTAGGCTCTGTGTATTATATTGACAGCATAGAGAGATTGGGGTAGTATTCATGTTTTGTGTGGGTTTGGGTTTATTATGGAAGAGGATGGGGGAGAGAACTTCATTAAGAATGATCTGAAATCCGTACTTGTCTGAGTTAATGCTGCTACTTACTTTACGTTTCAAATACTATCACGTGGAATAATCCAGACGATGAGAATTGCTATTATGCTTCAGACCTTATGTTTCTTTGTACTCTTCTTACCTCGCAACTTTGTTTTTCAGGGACGAGTCTTTGTTATGTCAAGGTCTGGCTTTGAATGATGACTTGCAGCGTGTCTTAACCAATTATGAAGCAATCGCTTCTGGATTACCTGGAACTTCTGCTCAGATCGAGAAGCCCAAGTCCGAGACAGGAAAATCCCTTGTTGATGTTGATGGTCCACTTATTGATACCGGGGACAGCAGTAATCAGGCGAACGGGTACGTTAGACCAAACTTGACAGTTATGCACCCAAGAATGTTGGATAAAATCACCTATTTTTGGATATGGGTTACCAATCTTAGCTGCAAGCTTGAGCCCGATATATGGCGTACTCGTCAAAATTATTACAATCTAGGATGTGAAAACGACAAGTTACTTATGAATTTGGGAGTAACTTTATAATCATTTTAATATAAACGGTGTTGATTTGTCTCTTAACTTACCAAGAAAGAACTGGGGTTTCGGGCCAAGTGACCTGGTAAAAGTTTTTTTTTGTCTTATTACATAGCTATTGATTTATACTATGTCCAACGTTTTCACAGAGCTACATCAAGTTCTGGTAACGGGGTTCTAAATCAGTTGGCCCTCCCTGCACCACCTGTAACTAATGGTTCAGCCAATTCCAAAATAGACCTCCTTAGTGGCGATGATCTTGCCCTTGTTCCTGTTGGACCTCCTCAGCCAGCAAGTCCGGTTGCATCAGATCAAAATGCGCTTGCCCTTATTGATATGTTCTCAGACAATACTAATAATCCAAGTCCTGCAACTGCACCAACTGGCAATCCAGCCCAGAGTATTCCTTTGAATCCTCAAGGGCACCAACAACCAAATAGTCAAGCTGGAGAAGCTGGCTTACAACCATCCAATGGATCTGCGTCTCAAATGGGTTATTCGCAGTTTGAGCAGCCATCATACGGTCAAGGAGTATCTTCTCCCTGGAGCAGTCAGCCTGCACAGCAACCACTCCAGCCATCTTATGGTAATATATATGGACGTTCCCAGTTTTTGTTTTTCAGTTTAAATCACAAACCTCCACAAATCATTCTTTTGGATTCAGAAGAATCTGCTTCAAGTGTGTCTCATGTCTAATCATTAATTGTTCTGTTTTTATGGTAATCTCGTGATGGGAAGAAGGTGCCCAAGACAGTATGGCATTTCCACCTCCCCCATGGGAAGCTCAGCTCCAAGACTTCAGTCCCTCTGCGGAGTCAGGAAGTCCGTTTTCTCCTGGAATGCATCCAACACAGACCCCCTTCACACATGCTCAACCATTTAACAACAACAATCCATATCCTCAAATTCCCCAAACCGGGCCACCAGTCAACAACAACAGTCCATATGCTCAAATGCCCCAAACAGGTCAAGCAGTTAACAACAACAGTCCATATCCTCAAATGCCACAAAACGGTATGTACATGCCAAACCAACCAAATCAGGTTCTTGGGTCAGGCTATCCACCTCAGCAACAACAGCAGCAGCAGATGATGATGGCTCAGTACTATGCCCAACAGCAACAGCTACAGCAACAACAACAGCAACAGGCGTATGGAAACCAGATGGGAGGATACGGATATGGCTATAATCAACAGCAACAAGGAAGCAGCCCATATCTGGACCAGCAAATGTACGGATTATCCATGAGAGATCAGACATCGCATCAGGTACCATCATCATCATCTACCACATCTTATCTGCCTCCAATGAAACCTAAGAATAAACCAGAGGACAAGCTATTTGGGGATCTTGTCGACATCTCCAAATTCAAGCCTACAAAGCCGACTTCCGGAAGAGCTGGAACCATGTGAAAAATCCTCCATCCATCCATCATTTATCAGTATTCATCTCCTCTGTCTTTCTCAGCTAACTCTCTTTCTTCTGTTCGTTAAGCTTTTTTCATCATTGATTTTATTACCCTCTTGGGAGATACATAGATATACATATATGTTATGTTCTTCCTTATAATTTACCGTTGGTTATATGACCGGTAATGGGATTTGTATATTTCTTGTAGAGAAAAGAAAACTGGAAAATCTTTTGTTGAGAACTCAGCGAGTTGGGGGTTTGTCTCGAGATTCTATTTTAGGACCTTTTAATCTCATTTGTGTTTTCAGACCTTTTATTTGGTATATGACCATTGGCAATAAAGTTTGATATCGATTGGAGAGTTATGGTTCTTAAGAGTTACAAAAGGATATTTTATGTTCTTTGTATATGAATGTAACTCTTCTATCTTTGTCAAAATGTCAAAACTATGCTTGCACTGTATAATCTCACTCTGAACGAAGAGAGGGAACTAGATATTTGTCAACAATAAAAGTTAAAAAAAACTATATGGAAAGGATTACGAAAAATTGAGAAAGACAAATCATAACACGACACAGTTGAATTTGTATCTGTGGAGTGGATCGTGTACACGTACACAATCTTACGTATATCCAACAACATTAGAGTGTGACTAACAATAAAGTCAATATGTCCGAGTGGTTAAGGAGATTGACTCGAAATCAATTGGGCTTTGCCCGCGCAGGTTCGAATCCTGCTGTTGACGATTCTTTTTTTTGCAGTCAATCGATTCTTCTCAGATATCTCTTCAGAAGTTTTTTAATATTTTAAAAGGAAAAAATCTCAAAATACATTTAAACATAGGGAAAAAAATCTGTGTTACAATTAAAAATTAAAAATAGTAGAGATTCACTACTTTCTTTTTTCCCACAATCTTCAATTGAAATAGTAGAGATTCACTAGTGTTTTATTTTGAAGTTTTTACCACAAAGCTCAACATTTTCTCTAATAAATTTCCGAAGATTGCTGAAAAATGTGAAAAAAAAAAAAAAAAGGAGGAAAATAATAAACAAGTCGGCAGCAAGATACGATAAATTGTTATTTAACACAAAATAATAATACGTTTCGTTTGGGGTTTGCCACGTAACTAGTTACCGCCACACGTTCTCTTCTTCTTCTCTGCCTTGTTCACAGAGTTTGTTCAATTTCACATTCTTTTGCATATTTTTCTTCTTCTCATTCTGAATCCTATCTTCAATTATGGAGATACGGAGCTTGATTGTTTCTTTGAACCCTAATTTCTCTTCCTTGGAGCTCTCTCGCCCTGTATCTCCTCTCACTCGCTCACTCGTTCCCTTCCGATCGACTAAACTAGTTCCCCGCTCCATTTCTAGGGTTTCGGCGTCGATCTCCACTCCGTCCTCTGACACTGACAAGATCTCCGTGAAACCTGTTTACGTCCCGACGCCTCCCAATCGTGAGCTCCGGACTCCTCACAGTGGGTAAATTGATCCATTCCATTCTATTTCTCTTATCTTTTTTTGTTTATTAAATAGCTCCAATTTTGTGTTTTGCGCATTAAAAAAGTTGGAAGATTTATGAAAACTGCAATTTAGAGCTGTTCATCAGAGAGTTTTGTTTCATGGTTAATGCAGATACCATTTCGATGGAACAGCTAGGAAGTTCTTCGAGGGATGGTATTTCAGGGTTTCAATTCCAGAGAAGAGGGAGAGTTTTTGCTTTATGTATTCTGTGGAAAATCCTGCATTTCGCCAGAAATTGTCACCATTGGAAGTGGCTCTTTATGGACCTAGATTCACTGGTGTCGGAGCTCAGATTCTTGGCGCTAATGATAAATATTTATGCCAATATACACAAGAGTCTCAAAACTTCTGGGGAGGTAACTTCTTCATCTTTAAAAATGCTGTGTCATAACAATAAGAAGTCAAATCTGAGTCTTGTTTCTACTTCTACTACTTATGTTCGTTATTGATGTGAAAGATTTTAACTCTTATCTGAATTTTGTTATAGTTTGGTTCTGGTGCTTTCTCTACATGAATTAGTTTATATGACTTTTAAAGATTCCTCACCTAAACTCTTTACTCATGCATAGATCGACATGAGCTAGTTTTGGGGAATACTTTTAGTGCTGTGCCTGGCGCAAAGTCTCCAAACACGGAGGTGCCACCAGAGGTAGATATAAAAAATCGCTGTTTTGACTCCTCCCTCGTTGGTTACTCTGTTATGTGTTAGATATCTTTCCGATTATATATCCGGCCCCTCACTATATACTCAGTGATTTTGATGAGTATAGGCATGATAGTGTTCTACTTCTACTTGTAGGAAATCTCAAGTTTTTATTACTCTTACTATTCTCTTGAATTTTGATTTGTAAAGCATGGCGTTTTACTGTAGGAATTTAACAGAAGGGTGTCCGAAGGGTTCCAAGCTACCCCATTTTGGCATCAAGGTCACATTTTCGATGATGGCCGGTATTTATCTGATTCTATGCATAACCAGAATTAACTATATTATAAATATTGGATATTGAGTATATTTGTTGAAAACTTCTTGACTTGTTTTGGCAGGACTGACTATGCGGAAACTGTGAAATCTGCTCGTTGGGAGTATAGTACTCGTCCTGTTTACGGTTGGGGTGATGTTGGGGCTAAACAGAAGTCTACTGCAGGCTGGCCTGCAGCTTTTCCTGTATTTGAGCCTCATTGGCAGATATGCATGGCAGGAGGCCTTTCCACAGGTGTGAGCTTTGCTTGATTGACTTAAGTCAGTAAAAAAGACTGTTATGTCTACTTGCCTAGTACTGCAGAAATTAAGAAAGAAATCATCCACTTACTTAATTTTCCTCTTTTTATCAGCAGAAACTGCTATTTTAATTCTTATGATTTATCTCTTAAATTTGCAGGGTGGATAGAATGGGGCGGTGAAAGGTTTGAGTTTCGGGATGCACCTTCTTATTCAGAGAAGAATTGGGGTGGGGGCTTCCCAAGAAAATGGTTTTGGGTAAAAAAATTCATCCTTTTGCTACATTTTCTTGTTGCAGACTTTAGGCATCTAGTTGAACCTGTGTATACACCACCCACATGTAGTACACTTGTTTGATAGCTTTATTTGTCAATGTCTCTTTACAGGTCCAGTGTAATGTCTTTGAAGGGGCAAGTGGAGAAGTTGCTTTAACCGCAGGTGGCGGGTTGAGGCAGTTGCCTGGATTGAGTGAGACTTATGAAAATGCTGCACTGGTATGCACTAATGAGATCGTCTTAAGTAATGACAGTAAATATACTAATGTTAGAAGGCAGATAGTTTACAAAATCTCTGGGCCCTTGTAAATGTGCAGGTTTGTGTACACTATGATGGAAAATTGTACGAGTTTGTTCCGTGGAATGGTGTTGTTAAGTGGGAAATGTCTCCCTGGGGTTATTGGTATATAACTGCAGAAAATGAGACCCATATGGTAAATTTGTTTTTCATCCTCAGATTCATTCAGTTTCACTTTTGTCATCATCGTTACCTTATGGCTACATTCCGACACCCGATGAATGTCTTATGGCAGGTGGAACTAGAGGCAAGAACAAATGAAGCGGGTACACCTCTGCGTGCTCCTACCACAGAAGTTGGGCTAGCAACTGCTTGCAGAGATAGTTGTTACGGTGAGTTGAAGTTGCAGATATGGGAACGGCTATATGATGGAAGTAAAGGCAAGGTATGTATGCAAATGTGATGCAATCCCTGTAGTTAAAGTCGTAGCTAGTCCCAAGGCAGTTAAAGAAGATTATGAACGTTGGTTATGGTTAACAATGATTCAGGTGATATTAGAGACAAAGAGCTCAATGGCAGCGGTGGAGATAGGAGGAGGACCGTGGTTTGGGACATGGAAAGGAGATACAAGCAACACCCCCGAGCTACTCAAACAGGCTCTTCAGGTCCCATTGGATCTTGAAAGCGCCTTAGGTTTGGTCCCTTTTTTCAAGCCACCGGGTCTGTAACATTGATGAGTGTTTTGTTTGTTGATAGAGAGTCATGTGATGATAAATCAAGCCTGAGTTATGTCATTGCTAGCTTCACTAATCTGTATGACTTTAGTTCGTTCGGGCCTTGTGGTAAATTATACGGGCCAGTGTAAAGTCTAGTTCAATAAAGCCCTGGGCCGCATAAGTTCAATTACACTTCAAATTGTATCAAAATTTCATTTTTTAGTTTTTAGGTGTTTCTTTTTTTTTTTTGTTTCTCCACTCATTGTTCCTAGGTAGAAACCACGATCTATAATGGATTGGTAATGATATAGGTTCGACTAGTTAGATATTGTATAAGTATGAGTGGGAGGCAAAAAGGAGAAAAGAAGAAGTTCCTTAATATCGGCTCACTTTGTCTTAGCATCATCACAAATGCACTCTCTGGTTCCCACAAACTTACTTTTTTTCTTCCTCACATTAATAAACCCTTCTTTCCGTTACACTCATATATATGATATAAACATTATCTCATTAGTCATTAGTCATTACCAATATATAAATTTATTTTGGTAAGTTTTTTCCCTAATAAAGAGTTAAGATCTATATATGAACTTAAAGCAAGCAATTATTTTCTTTTCCAACAAAGCTTCAACTTAGGCAATAATAAGGAGTTTAGGACAAATGGCAAACACATCATTTTGTTTTATTTATTTTTAAACCCGCGAAACCCATTTGATGCAATCGAAAGAAAACAAAGTAAAGGCAAAGTAAATAGTTAACTTATTATTTTTTGTCTACTTGTGAGCTTCTATCTCTATTTTATTTTATTTTTCTCATGTTGAAGTGTGAAATGAGAATATGAGTTGGAGTTATGTTTTAAAACTTATTAATTCATGAGTTACGTGAATGATCTTAATAGAGTTGATGATGATTTTACACGAGTGAGTTCTAATGGATCATGAATTATCTCCTAGACTAAAAAAGTTTATATATGTTATAAATATACATTAAAACCTTTATTAAAGAAAGAAAAACTTGACCAAACTGTATTTTATAATGTTTCTTTATGTATTAGCTATTATAATTAAAAAAAAAAAAGTAATTTACTTTCCGTAGATATGTAAGAAATTAAATAAATAAAAAGAGGGAATCAATTTTCATATATAGCCAAAGTCACATAGTGATTCTTCTCCAATCAAATCTCTATCAACAATGACAACTTTGCACAAAACCCTCTTCACACAAAATTCTACTACTTTAGATCAACGTAAGTTCTTTTTTCTTTCCCCTTAATTAATTTCGTTAATCGGTCAAATTAATAGTGGATGTGTGATTTTGTCAGTGATGATGTGCCATACGGGAAGAGATAATTCATGGAAAAAACTAGAGAACATAGACGAAGAAGGTCCAGCGGCGGTGGCACGTGAAGTGAAGACGGCGTTACCACCGGAGACGCCAACGGAGACGATGGAGTTTTTGGGGAGATCATGGAGCATTTCCGCTGTCGAACTCACAAGAGCTTTCTTCAACAATTCCACTGCCGACACCAACTCTTTTCTTCTATCTACTATTGTTAACACCAACAAAGAAGACAGAGAAGATGAAGAAGATTCTACTTCCATGGCTTCTTCTCGTGACCTTGTAAGTCACCTCTTCCTACATATTTCTAAACCTGTCAGCTGGTATGGAATTATGAACAATCTTTTTTTAGCTATGAAAAATTCTACTAGATGGCAACATTTGTATAAATCTTGTATAAACATAATTTTTTATCTAGTATCGGCTAATAGCAGTTTAACAAAATTGTTATCTACTTAATCAAAAATATAAATTTTGCTATTCAGCATATTTTCCCTTGTTTTTTATTACACGACCGCACAAGTTTATTGTTAATTTGTTTTTGGTTAAAAGTAACTAAACTTTGCGCATGAAAACTTTTTATGTGAGGTTTATCTATTTTTTTTTGGTTGTTGTTGACTTCTTGTTGAGTGTTAGTAAAGAACCAAATCGATTTTACCTAAAGCGTAACTTTTGTTGTAGTTTTTATTACTTGAATATTAAATTTACACTTCATTAACAATGCTGACAAGAAAAAGAAAAAATATTACAATTCTGAATCCATTTTTCAGCTGCTGCCACATATGGGAAATAAGACCAGCCCTCCAATAACTCCAAGGACCGGCAGAGAAATGAAGGTAAATGATCTATTAAACCGGGTTTTTCCGGTTTATCTTTATCTCCCAAATCAATCATATCTTTATTAAAAGGAGTTAAAAGGAGTCGACGTAAAGAATGGAAAAAGCGGGTTGGTTTTGGAACTTTTGCTAGATTAAAAAAAATTAACCGAGAGAAAAGAGAAGGCATTATAATTGTCATGATGAATTCATGCAATTGTAAATTCAATCCATTTCCTTTTCTTTTTGAAATAATTAAAAAGGTAACAAAGTGAGTATGTGCAATGAGCGGATATTCTGATTTGGTTCACTTTTTTTTTTCTTCGAGACTGAGAAAAAAAAGTGTCAACTAGACAAGTGATATCATGAATTCAAACATATAAGCAAATATTAATGAAAAATTTATATGCAAGTGTTATATGAATGATGCAGCATTTGTACAAGAGCATGATAAGAGGAAGAACAATGGGAAGAAGATTAAAGGATCAGAAGGAGAAGAAGAAACAAGAGACCCGAACTCGCAACGCTGAGATTCACGCCGCGGTCTCTGTCGCAGGAGTAGCTGCGGTTGTAGCCGCAACCGCAGCAACTAACGCTATAGCGGCTGCAGAGCATGCGGTTGAATCAACCACCGTTGCAGCTGCGGTGGCGTCTGCAGCTGCTCTTATCGCTTCACATTGCATCGAGATAGCGGGAGAGATAGGGGCGGGTTATAACCAGATTGCCACGGCTGTTAGCTCCGCGACCAACGCCAGGACTAACGGAGACGTTATGGCTTTAACGGCAAGTGCTGCTACAGGTAGTATTTCTTGTTAGCTCGCATAATCTAATGCGGAATTTTTGAAATGATACCCCATATGTGATTTTGAGGTTTTGTTGAGAGATTTTAGCGTTGCGAGGAGCTGCGATTCTAAGGTCAAGAATGGAAAGGAATAACGAGAACAAAGCAATGTTATATGCAACAAAGGAGCACGTAGAATTGGAAGAGAGAAATGTATTTGGAGCTATGACTTTTGTGTCTAGAGGAGAAGAGCTTCTCAAACGCACCCGCAAAGGTAACTTGTGATCCAAGAAAACCATTTTGATCATGTGATAAATCTATCAAAGTTAAATTCCGGAGAATATTTGGTGACAGGGGATCTTCATTGGAAGCAAGTATCTTTTAACATCAATTCAAATTGGCAAGTAAGTTTTTTTTTGGGAACAACTTTCATAAAAAATTGAAATATAAAGACATTTGATGGTCCTCATAAGGCTATTGATTTTGAAATAGGTGGTTCTTAAAATGAAGAGCAAACATGTGGGTGGAACTTTCACAAAGACGAAGAAATGTAAGCTAATATGAAACCAGTTTCTAGCGAATTAGTGAATACCAAAGTTTATCATCTTACCTTCTATAAACCAACATTCTCTTGGCGGGTTTTTCGATTTCAGGCGTTGTCAATGGAGTGTGCCGAGATATACCCGAATGGGCACATAGAGGACGAGCAGAAAAAATGGTGGAGCGAAGAGCCTACTTTGGGGTGAAAACAGTGGAAAGGGTGATTGAATTCGAATGTGGAAACAAAAGAGAGAAGCAAATGTGGATAGAGGGGATTCAACAGCTGCTTAACTCACTTGAAATCGGTTCTAGTGTTCACTGGAAACATTAGGGTTTGGATCAACTTGAAACACTATTTCACATTTGAACATCATGTGATATGAAGATTGAACTTGTCGGTTTCACGTGCGTGTGTTTAAAAAATTATGTTTGTGTCTGGTGGTAATATTTTCGATATCTGTATTTTCTTGTGTATCAAGTTACTTGTTAAGAATGCCAATATATCATGAGATCTTAAATAACATATAAAAACATAGACCAACTCAATTTTTAGTTGAAAGTTAATGAATTGTTAACATGATATCAGCACATGTAGGTTGTTAATCCAACTATGATATATTCTCCATCCTAATATGAAAGTTTAGTTTCGATTTTGCTACTTTTTTTTCTCCTCAAAACTGTTTGATTAGACTAGGCATTGCTTGTTTCTTTATCCAAATAGAAAAAAAATATTATAATATTTTTTATTTGTATAAAATAAAATAGATATGATATTTAGGTAATAAAATAAAAATGTTTTAATGCTATAATTAAGTACATTTATTATATAATGCAATTACAATCTACACTAACGCCATTTGTTTCCGTCTTTCTCACTTTATCGATTTACAGCTGGATTTCTGAGTTTCCTTTTTATTTTTTAATTTTTTTAAAGGAAAGATATAAGAAATAGAAATTAAAAATTTCCCTCTATCAGTCAAATGTTCTTCGTCCTTCCGGTGAAATTGTGGGACAATTCTCGGAAACGATCGAGCTTCTGATAATCCTCTCCGGTTCATGTGAGTTCTTGCTACTACAATTATCGGTAATTTATCTTTCCACCATACTGCAATAATTCGAGTTCAATTTAGGATAGAATTGCTTGACAAATAAATTTGAGTTATCTTCTACTTGAGTACTGTATCTTACAAGTTTATGGGTCACTGTCTTCAAGATCTCTCTTTTCATCTTTCCGAAATAATTTTTCTTTTACTAGAAAGAACCAAAATTAGCTCCGTGTTTGCTTCTTCTCGCTATCAATTTTCCGACCAAAGGGTGATAGATTTGTCCTAGCATAGAAAGGATTAGTTTAAAGATGCCCTGAAGAAAAAAAGATTACTTTCGAATTGATGTCTCAGATGTAAGATCCATTACAGTAAAATTCAGTTGTAACATCCAATTCGTGTGTTTGAATTCAATTCTCTGTTTTTATTCTCTCCTGCAGATTTGTGGTTAATAAGATGGTGATATTGATTTGTGTCATGGAGTCTACATGTTGAATTTGTGGGAACAACTTTTAGTATACGTCGTTTGCCACCAGAACCCAGTGGCTAAGTTTAGGTAGGAGTCAGAAGAAGCAATGAAATTGTTAAGATTTGCTGGTCTAGTTTTCATTTTTATCACAACCTTCCAATTTGTGAACATTCGTTATTTTGGTGGTTCTATATTCTCTTTATCTTCTCAAGATAAGTTTCCAGTATCATCATCAATCGATGTAACCACAGAACTCGTAAGGACGTTGTCTGGTCCTGAAAGATTGAATTTTAGTAGTTCGAGATCCGTTGAGGTAGATGAAGATGAAAGCACCGGTTTAGAAGAAGACCATGTGATTGGTTCTGATAAGAATGACACTGTTCAAGCCCATGAGAGTTTCATAGAGGATGTCAAAGATAAGGAAACTCTTGATTTGCTTCCAGGAACTAGGAGCAGCTCAAACGAGAGTTACGAGAAAATAGTAGAAGATGCTGAAACTGCTTTTGAAAATACTAGGAAAGTGGAGATTCTGGAGAGCAAGACTGATCCATCTGTTGATAATCTTTCCTCAGAGGTGAAAAAGTTTATGAAGGTTTCAAATTCTGGGGTGGTTTCTATCACCGAGATGATGAATTTACTGCATCAAAGCCACACTTCTCATGTCTCGCTGGTATTTGTTTTTTTAGTCTCTGATTAGACAAGCAATGGTCTTGTTTATACTACTTCACCTTTGTAGCTTATTATCTGTGTATTCTTGAATTGTTCTCCAGAAATTAAAACGGTCTTCCACAGTTGATCAAGAGCTGTTATATGCAAGAACTCAAATTGAGAACCCACCGCTGATAGAGAACGACCCTTTACTGCATGCTCCTCTGTATTGGAATCTGTCCATGTTCAAAAGGTTTATAATGGTTTTATGCATTTTGTTTGCTTTCTCATGTATCTAGGCATAGCGTTGGTTCTGCTCTTCCAGCTGAAACTGTTATCACTAATTATGGAATCCTTCTAGATAAGATAGACCATGATCACAAGAAATGCACTTTTACTTATTCAAAATTTACTTCAATAGAGCAGCTACAGTATTCCTTAGTGGTTCAGCTCTTGTTGTCTGATAGTTTCTTTGGATCTTCAATCTCTGTTTAGCATTTTCAGTTGTTAAGATTTTTGTACTCCTCTGTTATGATGATTTCTGTATGCGCTTTTGCTTTGGCCAAATTGTTATGAGTTTTGTCTAGCTGAATTTCATGTCTCTTCTTCTATATTTTTCACATTGCAGGAGCTACGAGCTAATGGAGAACAAGCTCAAAGTATATGTCTACAGGGAAGGCAAAAGACCCGTACTGCATAAGCCGGTGCTAAAAGGAATATATGCTTCTGAGGGATGGTTTATGAAACAGCTCAAGTCCAGCAGAACATTTGTCACAAAAGACCCACGTAAAGCTCACCTATTTTATCTTCCTTTCAGCTCCAAAATGTTGGAAGAAACTCTGTATGTCCCAGGTTCTCACAGCGATCAGAATCTCATTCAGTTTTTGAAGAACTTCCTGGACATGATATCTTCGAAATATAATTTCTGGAATAAAACTGGAGGATCAGATCATTTTCTTGTTGCTTGCCACGACTGGGTATATATTTTTTTAAAAATTCTACTTTATTTACTATGTCACTGTTTTGTTATCTCAGTGAAACCCATTTGATATGCTTCTTCTTCGTTTGTAATCCATGCTTTCAGGCTCCTTCCGAGACGAGGCAGTACATGGCCAAGTGCATCAGAGCATTATGCAATTCTGATGTTTCAGAAGGTTTTGTGTTTGGTAAAGATGTAGCTCTTCCTGAGACAACTATTCTTGTTCCAAGGAGACCGCTTAGGGCTCTCGGAGGCAAACCTGTTTCACAAAGACAAATACTTGCCTTCTTTGCTGGTGGAATGCACGGTTACCTTAGACCTCTCCTATTACAAAACTGGGGAGGTAACAGAGATCCAGACATGAAAATATTCAGTGAGATACCCAAATCTAAAGGAAAAAAGAGTTACATGGAGTACATGAAGAGCAGCAAGTATTGCATCTGCCCAAAAGGGCACGAAGTCAATAGCCCTCGGGTCGTGGAGGCATTGTTCTATGAGTGTGTCCCGGTTATCATATCTGATAACTTTGTACCTCCCTTCTTCGAAGTTCTGAACTGGGAGTCTTTTGCGGTATTTGTCTTGGAGAAAGATATTCCTGATTTGAAGAACATATTAGTGTCCATAACTGAGGAAAGGTATAGAGAGATGCAGATGAGAGTCAAGATGGTGCAGAAGCATTTCCTTTGGCATTCTAAACCCGAGAGATTCGATATATTTCATATGATACTTCACTCCATTTGGTACAATAGAGTTTTTCAAAGTTAAAACCACATAGTAGGTTTGTGACTGTAGAGCAAGTAAGTAACAGAGATTCATTTGTTAATATAGCAAAAGGTGGGTTGCAAAACTCGCAATTCTCTAGTTGCAGGTTATTCACTATAAACCACTTAAGCGATCTTACACAAACGCCAATCACTTTACATAAATTTGTCAGATTCCTTAGATATATTTGAGAGCTTAGATCTACTCTTGAGATTATCTCCAACAGTGTATATACTTTAAATTAAGAAACTTACACACATTAACTTCAACAACGTTTTTTTCGTGTTCCCACAACAACAAACACGTCCGAATCAATTTTGTTATGCTCCACTTATGTGAATTAACCTCAAAAAGATTTTCATCGTAAATGGCAAACAAGCATATAATCATCAACTTCAAGTTGCCGGCTGAAAGGGATCGATCATTAGGACCCAAAACAGCGAAATGAGCATGAAGAATCTTCCATTTTGATTCATCTTTCTAAAAGAACGCATACATAATTTGACTTGTGGATAGTCGACGACAAAAATTTGTCGGACACAATATAAAGATGGCATACTTTTCAATGGCTTAAAATGATATGTATGACTGTGCAGTTACTTTGGTTGGTCATGCATGCTTTTAATAGAATTTCTTTCTTTCTTTCTTTTTGATCGAAAATGGAATATCTTTTTGTGTATATTGTGTCCTACGTTAAAGCCAGAACCCTATTTTGGACCAGATAAGTATTGCTTGTAACCACATCTTGCACAAATTATTTCTAAAGAGGACCACATAATCGTAAATATATAGATGTGTACATTTTTTTTTTCTAATTCTTTTTTATGGTTCATTTATACATCCAAATTTATGATCACCAAGATACGTACCATGTAATCATGTAAGATTTTTTTTCTTATAAAACTTTTTTGTTCAAATCCTCTTTTAACTAATGGTAAAAGACAAGGTAACTCTTCAAACGTAAGGTGCTCTTGAAATTGATTAATAATTTTGGGCCTGAATCTTAGGCGGAAAGGTAAGCAGAAAGAACCTTCAAAAATAAACCGTCTCAATGGCTTTCTTTTGTTAGAATTATATTCTGTATATATGCAGGGCTCATGGTGGTATAGTAAAGCCCATGCTTGAGGTCTCATTTTATCATTCATTTTCTGGGGCCACAATGTCTAATTCTGGGGCCATATTTAATCTAGTTTTAACATAGTATATAGTTACTTTTAAATTCAGTTATCAACTTTTGAATAATTGAATATCAGTGTCAACGTTCCAGATGACGGGGGATTATCATATTTTGGTCCCTTTTTTTTCTCTCGTGACCTAATCGCCGCCTCCTTCGTCTCTTCGTATTTGGCTGGATTTTGACCGGCGCGTGGCGGCTTACTTAGCGCCGGCGTCGGTCACGTTTCTCTTCTTCTCTTAGTTTTTGTTTCTGGTCTTTGTTCTCTTTGGCGGTGTTTGCACGGTGGTTTTGGCGAGATGGTTTGGCCGTCTTCGATTCTCAGATCTAGTAGAAAGTGGCCTTTTGTCACCGAAAACTTTGGTCTATGGTCTGCTCTTTGTGCGTTGGTGTGACTCATGGCGGGTTTGGTCTTGGTCAAGTTGCAAGGACGAATCTTTTTCGGATCTGCCTCTTCGCTCATGACGGAAGCTTTGCGGTGGATCTCCTGATCGTGGTTTGTTTTGGTTTGAGGAGGGTGACGCCGGATTTAATCGATCTACGGGTCTCCATTCTGAAATTTCAAACCTTGTGTATGTGTACTGAATCGATTTGTCTCCTAACCGTTTTGTGAATTGCCGTTTCTGTTGGTTACATGTTTTGGTTACCGGTTCGCGTTCTTATCGTCTCCAGTTTTCGGTTTGATGTGGATTGTTTGGGCTCGGTCCTTGTCTCTACGGTCAAGACCTGATCGAGGTCTCTCTATTTCATTGGTATCTTTCAAGGCGTAATCATTTCGTGGTTATTAAGCTTGCCTCGAATTCGCTGTTTCCAGGAGTTGTGTTTGGGTTCTTGTTCTCTACTTGCTGGTAAAGATGCTTTAGTTCTCTATATTTGTGAGGTAGTCTTCATTGTTATAGGAGGAGCCGCTGTCCGGTATCGTGGATTTTCTCGTCTCCATCGGTTAGCCACTCTTTGTTGGTTTGATGGTAGGCAAGGTGTGATGTGCTAGATTCTGAGTTAGAGTTGTATTTCATGTTCTTTGTGCTTCGTTGCCTTCTTTGTTTTGGCATTGTTTGTTCATAAGTAGTGTTGATGTTTGAATCCCATGTTTTTGGGCTTAGTTTCCGAGGATATCTTGTTATCCGTCGGCTTAGTTTCCGGGGATGTGTTGTTTCCGCCGGCTTAGTTTTCGGGATTATATTTTTAATCGCCGACTTTGTAATTTGGTTTCTCTTTTATAAAAATTCTACCAGACGAAAAAAAAAAAAATATATCAGTGTCAACTTTACGACATATTTGTTTAATATAGTTCTCATACTATTTAATGTATAAGTAATGTTATTTACTATTTTGGAAAATTAATTTCTTTTTCCGTATTTAGTATAGTCTAAAATTTAATCTCTAATACAGTTTTCATATTTCACATAGTTTATTACATTCAAAAATAGTTAATTATATTCGGAATTTTTCTTCTTCTTCAAGTTGTCCCGAGGAAATAAAACACGTCTAAACAATCCAACTTTAATAGAAGACAAATAAAAAAAGAAAGAAAAAAAAAGTGATTATCAGCAAAATCTAGGAGAATTTAAACTGGAAATACAAGAACACACACGATCAAAATGAAAATATCAACTTGAAACGGTAAAGAGATGATGACACCTAAAACCGAAAGCAGATTAAACACTAATTGTGAATATAACTATTATGTGGGTGTATACAACTGTCGACCATATTTGCGTGTATTTGTTCTCTTAGATTCCAAATTTGATTTCAAAAATCTCTTATAATGTGTTATTGAACAAGTTATCCAAACCATAGATGGTGACACTGACATCAGCAACCAAGCTGTGAAATCAGTTAGGGAAAAAGGTAAAAAAGACTAAAAAATTATCTCCCATATTACGACCCTAATTTATCTTTTAGACATATTATGAAGTCACTAGTATATTTTCTCTATCCGATTACTACACTAATTAACCTAGTCGGTAGAAAAATGGGCGTGTATAAACATGTAAATGGTCAATAATTTGAGACATAGCTTTTCATGTATTACCCAAAAACCCTTTCTTTACATTGCTTTTCAATGTTTCAAGAAGATTTTGGTCTCGTTCGTCTGAAGAGACATATTCTCTTTCCTCTCCTCCGTTCTAGTTCTTCCATCTCATGTCACAGTTTTTTTTAATTCTTACTGGTTTTGTATTTTCTTTTGTCGACTAGTCAGTTAATATTGTACTTTTTACTACGAATAGACATACTTAATATAATACCTTATAATATTGTTGGCAGGGTGTAATAATTGAATCACGTGAGCCCTTGGTTGGTCACGGTTCGGACACGTGTTTACGCGGTTCGTGAACCGTAGTCAAAAAGGGGTCCAAAGCTGTCGAAGAACACGAACAGTGTAGCTTAGCTAGACAGCTGGATTATCTTTTTTCCGTACGACTTTATTTTTGTTCTTCTTCAACATTTGTCGACTTCTTCACTCTCTCTCTTTAGACTTGTACTATAGTAGTATTTTAATTCGGAACTAATTGTGGCATTCATTAAAATCCATTCAATATTTTGGGCTGTTGATATCTGATTCCAGCTCATAAACTATTAGTGGGTGGAGAAGGAACAAAAAAAAGGTTGACGCCGACAAATAGAAAATCAAGAAAACAAAAATTGTGGGAGTCGTGGAACTGGAGGTCCTAGAGGAAGATAGAAAGAATTGTGCGTAAGTGGAGGTCCGTGTTACGACGATTTCATTTGATATACAATATTTTCATTTTTTTGTGTCTTTAGAAGAATCATATCATCTATATATCTTCTTCTTTTTTCTCAAATTGCGGAATCATATCATAAGAACTAAAAGATGGGTATCACATATATTTGCTAATTTATAAATAGAAATTTGGATTGAACACTTCTATTTAGAGTGTTTAGAAGATCAAGGGTATTGCTCATCACCATTACTGTTTTAACTATAAAGTTTTGAATTTAATCTCTTGTTAAGCTTGAAATTTTTTAAAACTGTCAAAAAATTTAACCTTATTGTTGTTAACATTAAAATGGTTCTATGATTTTATAATATTCTTTAGCTACAAAGATTCCCAAACCTAGATTATCTAATAGCATAAACAAAGAGAAGTTTAATAATAATTATAAAAAATAATAAAAGTACAAATAAATTTTTGGCTGTAATTAAGTTCGCAACACATCCACATACAGACACACACACAAAAAAAAGATTGATTGGATCTGTATTGGCTAATAAGAGATTTAGGAACTAAGAGAATCCTTCATATCCACATAACATTCGTGCATGATATATAAGCAATCGTGCATATTAATTGATTCATAGTACATACAACTTTTTTCAGAACTTTCTCTTGATTTGATAAGCTACAGTGCATATTCATGGATAAATACGGCTTCAGCCTTTATCCGTTCTTACGAGTTTCTTACGTTCTGAAAAAAAGTAAACAGTTCTGCAAATGTAGAAAGATGAAATTCAAATCTCTTAAAAAAAAAAAAAAGAACTTGAAAAGTCCGCGTTATCACTATTTGAGATTGTCGACATTATTGATGATGTAATAATGGAGCAGCTTTTTAAATATGAAGGCTCTTTTAGAACCCTACCACCGAATGAAATATAGAAAACGACTTCTTCATAATATAATCTTTGAATAGATCCATTGCAATGATGATTAATTATTTTTTGCATGACAAACTCACCTTGGGTGATTTTTGATTAGCCGACACAAAGTATTTAATTCGATCTTTCTTTCTTTCTTTCTTTCTTATGCCGGCATATATTAACTTGAGTTACATAGTCACTAAAAAATGAGACTACAGAGGAAACTAGGTGTATTAGAACAAGTTTACATACTAACATCGTGTATATGTATATATATTAACTTGAGTTTACATACTATTTTCTATTTTAGCTACAATCGTTCACTTTCGATTGTTCGTGTTATCATAAATGATCAGTGTAGGTTTTAGGGTAATGTTAATGAAGTTTAAAAAAAATACATGTTAATGAAGATTTAAGAAAATTGTATATCTCCTCTATTGGTTTTATGGAACGAATTGAGCGGTTAAAGAAGGCAAGAATCAATGCATATAAGTACGTACTTGATAGCTATAAGTTAGTACGTCCTACTCCTAGGGTTGCCGACTTAACCAATTCATTTATGTTTCTTGTAAAATACATTTTGGAGTAATAACCAAGATAGTAAAAACAAAATCCTTTCTACTTATGAGTTCAATAAAAACCCAACAGAACTGGTGACTATATGTACTCTACCGTAGATTCCAGTCCTTTTGCACGTTCCAATGTCTTACACAAATGAAAGATGATCAGAGAGAGTCGATAATAAAAAGAAAAAAAAAACTAAATTTATTGCAAAAATAAATATCTATACGAACTTGTATAAGTCGTCACATCATAAAAAAAAAAGCAAAAGATTAGAAAAACATCATCTCGTGTTTCGCGTTAGAAAATGAAAAAACGAAAAGATACTTTAAACAAAAATCGTAGTTAATATCATACACAGTTACACACCAACCTCGTAGGTAAGCTATATAGGTCCCTTCGTTTCCACCACGTATTCGAGAGTATATAATCCAAGTTATAATTTGATAAAAATCATTGAGAGAAAGAGAGTTTGGAAACATTCCAAAACCAGACTCGAAATATTTTCACTAAATAATGATACAAACAAGAACTATCTTTTTATAAAACTCTTACACCCAAAATAAAATATCTCACTCCTTTTGCCTCAAATTCTTTCTTTTTACAACAACCCATATCTAAAATCCCCATTAAAAAGAAAATTTCAGTATCTTTGACATTTTGTCGAACACTTGGACGGCATAAAAAAAAAGCCTAAACCTTTCTGATTAACAATGGCGAATTCGTCTTCCGACAAGGAGAAGAAGGAAAATAGTAAGCAGCCCGTGTATCGTGGAGTCCGTATGAGGAGCTGGGGAAAATGGGTATCGGAGATTCGTGAACCACGGAAGAAATCGAGAATCTGGCTCGGGACATTTCCGACGGCGGAGATGGCGATGCGTGCTCACGACGTGGCGGCTATGAGTATCAAAGGAACTTCAGCCATTCTCAATTTCCCTGAGCTATCAGATTTTTTGCCCCGACCCGCTTCGCTCAGCCCTCGTGACGTCAGAGCTGCGGCGACCAAAGCCGCTCTCATGGACTTCGATACGACGCCGTCTCGTTCCGAGACTGAGACGAGCGAAACGACGGCGTCTAATAAAAGGTCAGAGAGTAGTGAGACTAGCGAAACGACGACGTCGGATAAAAGGTCAGAGAGTAGTGAGACTAGCGAAACGACGACGTCGGATAAAAGGTCAGAGAGTAGTGACAGTGGCGAAACGGTGTCGTTCTCATCGTCGTCTTCGTTCTCTGTGACAAGCATTGAGGAAAGTACAGTCTCCGATGATCTAGACGAGATCGTTAAGTTACCGAGTCTAGGAACGAGTGTAAACGAGTCAAACGAGTTCGTGATTTTTGACTCGTTGGAGGATTTGGTGTACATGCCTCCGTGGTTAAGCGGTACGGAAGAAGAAGTTTTTACGTATAACAATGATTCTTCGTTGAATTACTCATCAGTTTTCGAATCTTGGAAACATTTTCCTTGAGAAAAGAACCCATCTTTTCTCTTTTTTCTTTGGCCATTTTTGGTCTTAAGTTTTTGATGGGATTAATCTCTCTGTTTTTGCTTTGCGTGAGATATCTCTCTTTGTGGAATAGATAACTTTTTGTTAAAATCTCCTAGTCTGTGAAATGAAAGACAATGGAAATGTAATTGTGTTAGTGTGTATAACTATGGGTTTAGCCGAAATAATGACTATAACCTTCCAAATTTTTCACTTTCTTTTTGCAAGAAATCTATCTAGAAAAAAATCATTTTGTATAGAATTGATTAAGATCGGTTTAGGTTAACCGTGTATTCATTATCGTGTAATGTCTGTGAACCAGAACCCTCTTAATCTATAAGAGGCTTTAATGAGAACGAGTTTGTTTCAGTACCCCTGCAGAAAATGTAGATAAGTTAGTACTAATGATCACTAAGTCACTATCCAGATTCAGATTCAGTAAATATGCATATGTAAATTGTTGAAAAAGAATACTATATAGGAATGTGGTCTCCCAGCTTAAACACTATTTATTTTGATTTTTGACATTCCCATTTCACAACAATTCAAACTTTCACATGTAACTAGTTGAAAGAAATAAATTAAAAAATGTACTTTGATTAATGCATCATTTAAAGCTTCTACATAAGATAAAATACTATGCAGTTAAATACAACTTGAAAATATCTAATGTGTACTACAATATGGAATTAGTTATTTTTTGAGAGTGCTAATCTTAATCAAACGGTAGAACTTGACAGACTAATTCATTAAACTCTGTCCAATAAGCTTCCTTTACTCGAGGGATTGAGATTCTAAGGAATTGAAACTCGACTGCCTGATTGACCATAGCAAGATTTGTTTAGTCGATGTTCAATCTTCTATAGTCTACACTTCGTATACTTAACATATTTACGCATGTATCCACAATGACATAAATTCAAATGATATATTATTTCATAGATGTAAAGTAAAATATTAAACAAGAGTTATTTGATCACCACAAAGTGGCGATTTTGAGACAATTTATAGTATAACAGATTTGAGATATATTTATAGCATGGTTGTTTTAATCTTCATACAAGTTTCTGACGATTTATGACAACACTTATTAACCTTGTTTTGCAAAAGGTAGTTAACCAGTATGTAATAATTGCCAATCCGCGCCTAGCTTTTCTTTAATCCATGCCTATGGTCTCTAATTATTTTATTAAGAGAGATATTTGATTAATAAATTGGTTTCGTATGGTTTTGAGAAATAACTGTATCATGTAAGGCTTAAGCTGATCACGCTGAGTCGCTGACAGTCAATTGATAAAGGAAGGGGACGTCTTACGTTTTATTTTAGTTGTTCCATGAAATTGTGAAGGGCAACGTCCACGTGTATATTTTGCTTTGTGGAAGGCAATAAACTCTGCTTTTAATTTGTCTCCATGGAAAAAAAAGCAATTTATTCATTTTGGAAAACAAAAAGAAAAAGAAGATATGGACAGAAGTGAAGTCATATTTTGATTGGTTCAATTATCGCTCTCTAGTCTCATTGTCCTATTCCCAACTACATCTCACTATTTTGTTTCATTTTCTGTCCTCTAAAAAGAAAGCAAGGACGAATCATTGGCCGATGATAGTACTGATCAAGATAGGGCCTTAAATCCACCGTCTAATTAGACTAAACATTTTAAGTGTGCGTCTAAGATATATATAAATCTGTTGGATACAATTACATTTGTTAATTTTGATCATTCAAAGTGATTTATCTTACTATTAGTCGGATCGTAGCTACTGTATGCTAACAAAAGAATCATATATATATATAAAAGCACAATTGGCATTGGTGCAAATGAAGAGAGAATCTCTTAGAAACCCGGTGGTAAACGGTAGTTTGTTTTTTTGTTCTGTAATTTCAAAACTAGCACTCAAATACATATCTTTACCAGATGATTTAACAAGTCGAATCTGAAACTAGACAATCATTAATTTGTAATGGACCATTCTCTTGTAGTATATTAAATCTTAAATGCACCGTCCAAAAAAAAAACACAAACCCTTAAATGCATGCAAGCCATGTCTATTGACAAATGGGAGAGTATATGTGAAAGTTAAAAGAGAAGAAGAAGCTTACTTACAAGTCTACATCACAATTCACAAGTGGTGAAATCAAGCGCTGGGATACACGCATCATATTTAAGTTTAGAATCCATATAATTCACAAGTGGGTTTTCTTCTTGGGTTATAATCAATCGCATAAAATCTCTTCGCATGAATTATTGCGTTTAGCTTTCCAGCAACACTTTTTAGTAAAATCCTATTCACTTTACGTTTCTATTCACTGACAGCGAAATCCTAACAAGAGTGGCTCCATGTGTATTTAGTGAGTTTTTCCATATTTCAACTGTTTGTGTCGGTGTTATTTTTGTTTTGTTTTATGGTATCATAGCTTGGTGAATTCTTATTTACAAGAGGCTGTTATGTCGCGTTTTGGTTAGTGTCTGCAAGTATCAGAGGAGTTTGAAATAATCAATTTTTCTCTTAATTAAGTTGAAATCATTCCCTATTTATTCTTGGTATATATACTATATAGTGCAAAAAAAAAAATCAACTAGAATCCTTCCTAGCAGCCAGCATCATTTGTAAATTGTAATACTTCTGTATAACGTTTAATATTGCAATATATCAACCATTAATCCAAAAAATTTCTTTTGTTGTGTAAATAATGTTGTCAACGTTATAAACCCTTTATTGAAAAGGTTACTGTATTAATCTACAAACATTGTGTGAATTAATAAAGTAAAATTTTGTGGACTGATATAGTAACTTTTTTTAATATAGGGTTTACAACGCTGGCAACATTATCTAACAATTTTTTTAAGATTTAACTAGAAAATTTGAGAAAAAATGGGACTGCTTAGCTTAAACAATGGGATAGTAGTAGTTGTCATGCTGCAAAGTGAACCAGGTAACAGAAGAGATTCGTAGATTTCTGTGTTCGATTATGTCGCCGAATAGAATTAATTCCTGATGATTTCGTTAAAGCCTGGCCTGTGCTTTTTGACTTTTACGCTCTCGTCCTATAGTTCATATATCCTTGAAAAACCAAGCGGATCAATAAAAAGAGTTTGGATCTTAGCGGTGTTGCCCGAGAAAAAACAACTAATCGGGAACAAAGAGAAGCCTCGTGTTATGGAGGCTGTAGAGTCTTCAACCTAAGCCATCGAGATTATGGTTCATGCATATTTTTTTCTTGTGAGTTATTCACTTGCGTGATACATTTTAATTCTACAGAACTCCTTGTGCATCATCATCCACTAAACTTGTGTTTGAGTTAAAGATAACAACCGATCTCAGTTAAATTTCTCCTTTCCTCTCGACATCACTTTCGCTACTGGAGAAGTCTGTAATAAGAGACCACCCGATGGGCTTGGGCATGGGCTTTGAGCCAAATTTGACTAGCAACATGATATACTGCTTATGGATAGCAATCTAGGCCTCAATCTATGGCATATATATATGACCACATGGGCCATGGTGAAAACAATAAATATCGAAACAAAGATCAGCAAATTGAGCCCTAGTCCAAATCCTTCACCTAATTTGTAGATATTATATCGAAAGTAAAAAAATTATCCTTGTTTGAGACAGAATTTAATATTATGTTTCACATAGACAACAGTTTATTGGTATCAGGTAAAAAGGTTGGTAAGTTTTTCTTAGCGTGAGATAATTCGTATACCAAATCTCACAAAAATTGTAAAAAAATAGCGTACTCACCAAATGGTGTGTCCGACGGAATTGGTGATCGGAAATCCCCTTGTTTTTTTTTTTGTTTTTTTTAGCTAGTGGGTGAAGAGATTGACGGACTCTGTTTTTACGAGTTTTGAAGATTACTATTTTGTTTTTCTAAAATTGTTAGGATTTTGCGATGGTTTTGCTTTTGAGATGGTCTTTTGACTCTTTTCTGTATAGAACGTACATGATCATTCGAAATACGAGAGTTGACCATTGGAAACAAATAATCATTTCAGATAATTAATATCTTCAATAAATATCCCTAATCAAGGCGCACCAGTTAAACCATTTATTGGAGTCTTGCGAATGATAATTCAAGAACTTCCAGCAAAGATGCAACTTCCTACGACATTCACCTAACACCAGGTTTTAAAATATGTAGAATCAACCTGTTTTTCATTTATAATTATTAGTAGTACTATAAAATAAAGAAAGAGAAACCCTAGCTGATAAAGTTAATTAGTGCTGTAGAAATAACTTTCTACTGTTTTAGTTTCATACTAGCATTACAGCCCGTGCTATGCACGGACATAGTATTTATTAATTTTTATATATTAAAAGTTAAATAAATTTTGGCATCTAACATTTATTTTGGTGTAATCTAAATATTCTAATAATTGGAGAATTTAATCAAATTCTAATTTAAGAGAGCATGTATATTTCATAAAGTTTTAACAAAAAGCAAAAAAAAAAAAAAAAATAAGCTACTAATCTAATTAATTGGTTGGGGTGAGAATAAATACACGTGTAAAACAATTGCCCGGTGGAATCTCACTCTCATCTCCCCATCTCAATCTCCTCTTCTCTTCGATTACCCAGAAAAATTGAGGGTTTTATGTTGACACCATGGAAAAGTGAAAAGCAATTAAACGTGAATCATGCTTCTATCTTCAAAAAACGACAATATCAAAATTAAAGAGATTTAGTTTCAAGGGAATGCAATCAGATTAAATAGAAATAGAGAGAAATACAAAAACCAAAGAAATGTAGAAGAACGATATAATTTGCAGATCTATATATAATTGTCGTTAAAGAATTTTTGACAACTATAAGAAAATAAAAAAACAGAAATTGGAGATGGTAAATTGATACCTTTGGGATGTGAAAAAGTCACTGATTTCTGAGAATAATCGATGTATGATGATGAGAAGACCATTCTTGAGATTTTATACATACAGTAGTCATGGAGATTTTGGAGGAGAAGAAGTGGAAGAGGTGGAGATCGTGGGGATGAAAGAAAATAGGGTTTTGAGAAGGAAAAAACAAACTAATAAAAACGAATGGATATTTTATCTGTTATTATAATTCTTTTATTATAATTTTTGAATAAACAAAATCTTGCGTGAAAAAGAAAGAGTAAGAAAATTGGACTTAAGCTGATGTGTCAATCAGTAAATGCATCAGTTATTGAAAAATTGACTGTTGATTTAGTATAATTAGATACCGACAAACTAATTAAAACAATTATGCCCACTAATAAAGTCATCTTCGTTATTTGTTGAACAATACTAATATGTGGAAATGAGTGTGTTTAACTTTGTACAACAAACTAGTTATTTCAGGATTTTAATCAAAACACGAATTTGTTATTTTAGAGTTTTTAATCCTCAACCTTATGAATATATCCCGACAAATTTATCATATGAGTTTGTTGAAGAGTTGTATCTTTTGGATCTAATGAATCTCTCTTAATATCATATCACTTATGTAAACAATATTACCTATTAATGACTTTTTTAGCATAATTAATTAAAGTTGTTAACAGAACAAAAAAATCTCTCTTAATATATAGATAGGCCATTGAGTATTATGTAACACAAAATGCATAGATTCTTGTCGTTCAAATTATAATATATATATATATATATGTAACATGTAGTATAGTTTTTTTATGAGAAACGTCTTAACAAACACCTATTTTTTCCTTCTCAAAACACTATTTTTTAAACTCGGCATTTGTAGTTAGTTTTTTTGTTTGGGTTAATCTGGATTAACCTCTAAAATATGAGATTGATATGCATTTTGACCCCACAGTATATTAGTAATATAATTACTTTAAGAAGAGAGCAATAATATTAAATATCGAGCTTTCTTTGTGGGGAAACCCTGATTTTGTCCGCCACAAGTGACCAAAATTAATAAAATAATGTTTTTTTTTGAGTTTTTAATACATTGTAGGAATCAATTGGGGCATGAAGGGACATTAAGCAATTTTAAAAGGGCATTGAATACACAGAACGAGTTCTAAATTGCAACTCATCTCATGCACCATGACGCTTTAGTGATGGCATGTTTAGGGTTTAGTGGTTCATCGATAAATTTTGTATTTCAGATGTTTTCTAGTTTTCCAATCATTAAAGGTAGCATTGGACGAGAAGGAAAAAAAAAAGATAATGAAGAGTTGAAATTTGAAAATGCCGAAAATCCACTAAAGAAAAGATGCATTTCCCTTTATTTATTATCTTCGTATATATAATAAAGATATTCGATATAATGACTGTGACTCAGGGGTTCTATCACATTGCATCAGCAACATAAACATTTAAACATGACAATGAATATCTGTCAATCTATGTGCGCGCTGGATTAATTAACATTGTTTCAGAAAAGCCCACAAAGTGGCACGATAACATATTTGTTTGTGCCAAATTAGTAAGTCAAATATTACTACTTTTTAATTGTTGTTCAGGTTGTATTGGCCTATTGGGACTTGTTCGATCGCTCTCACTCTACGAACTGCAATTAAAACTCTGTATATTCAAATGTTTTTTTTTAAAAGCTAGACACTAGTTGAATATATCATTATAAAATTAGAAATATCTACAATTCACAGTTTCACTTTGAAGATATGATAAATTTATTTATTTAGTGAAAGAAAGTAAACAGTAAAACCGCTTAAGGTGCTGAGTTGACATATTATATATGAAAATGTTTTCACTTAGAAAACAAGTATAATAAATGGAATTCACTGGCATTTTAATGAAGAAGGGAAATAACCGATAATGATTAAAGGAAGTGATTATTCTTAAGACTAGAGACACATATCAGATGAAAGGAAGTGATTATTCTTAAGACTAGAGACACATATCAGATGAAATGAAGTGATTATTCTTAAGACTAGAGACACATATCAGATGAGACAAACAGATGTGGCAAACATATGGACCCAAATTGCAGTTTTATATTATAAGGAATCTCTTATTAGCTAGTTGACATGGAGTTTTTGTACTATATGTAATTTATAATTCGAATATGGCAAACTCATATGATATGAAATTAGATACTTTTCATTTTCCCAATTGGGTATATGGACTAGGAATAATAATAGAAGGCCATGTACTCAAACCAATAACATAAAAAAAAAAAGTGTGTAGAATTACATAGCGACCACGATAAATAAATGTTTTTTTTCTTCTTTTCTTTTTAATGTCAGAAAATAAATATATATCTATACATTAATAATATTCCGACATAGTGATCAACAATCATGAGAGTACCTTGGATAATATAAATGTTTATAATTATAATTTCATATTAGAAAATTCAAATGATACATTGATACTATTAGAGGTATTCCACATTTTTTTGCAAGGATATATAGGCGCACTGGATAATTATATGAATTTTAATAAGAAAAATAAAGAACATGGTAAAACGTGTTTATTTTTGAAAAATGTTATGTCATATAACGGTTATTAAAATGTAAGACACTTATACTGTCATACAAACATACATACAAACTATATATGACATGTTTCATACAAACATTGTATTATTGTATTTCTATATGTTTGTACATGTAAACGTTACGTGTACCCAACAACGTTTAGAATAATCGTCACATCAAACCTTCAAATAGATGAATCAAAGGTGCTTCTTTTGTTTGACATTCTAAATCCCACACAAAAATACAAAGAAAAGTCAAATAATGTGGTCTTTAATTATATTATTTGTTTGCTTCCGAAAATATAGAGTCACTTGAACCAAACTCTTGACACAAACTGGCCTATGCTGGTTCTTTTTCTTAACCAATTTATCCGTTAATTTTCAATGGTGTATTATGTTCACTTCGAAGCATTTTTTATTTTTTTTTGTCGACCACTTCGAAGCATTTCCTGTCAGTCACCAACTCACTATAATCCACCAATCATATTCATATCAGTTTCTCTCTCGCCAAAAACCTAACGAGGTTATTATAAATGAAACATGTACATTCTATTTATTTTTAAAAGTTTTTTTGGCTTTGAAGTTTGGAAATACGCGGTATAGGTCCGTCTCAATCTATGAGAGGACCATCAGCAATATTGCTACCAATATAAAACTAAGGTTTTTTACAAAACTTTATTTTTAAAACAAATTAGACCTTTTTATCTTATTTTCTTAAAATTGTTTTTATATCCATGGCAAATATTTATGTTGTCTACCATTAGCGACGGACATGCTCGGTTTATTATATACTTCCTTGTGTTATTTTGTCACGTTTTGACCATTTTCATCTATCTTTGACGGATTCACAAATGCAAATACCTATATTCTTTTTATTTTTTTTGTCAAAAGTACGTATATTCTTTTTATGATATATAATCGTTATATGATCGGATAAATAGATATTTGTATTATATTCAAGGTAAGAAATGTAAAATATAGTTCTTTCCTTAGTTTCTTGACTATCTTTATGCCTTAGTTCAGGAAATAATCATACGAAATTTGCCAAAACGTTTAATATACTCACTTTGCATGGCCCATATAAACAGTGTAAACGTACAATACTCATCATCCATATTGATTTACCTTAAAATCACATTCACCAATGCGTCGGATGAAAAGAATATTTAAATATAAAATACAACCATATATATATATAATATCAATTATATATTCATATTTAAGCGCTGACAAAATAGAAATTCATACTGACCGTTTATTTAACTTTGGTAGTCTAGAGTATTGACACTCATACATGGAATGTTTTTACAATGTTAATGCTAACTTACTCACTGCTAGTAAAACTCCTACCACCAATTTTAAGCGAACGTATAACGCATTAGTTCAACAATTAATATTTAATAGTTTCAGCGGCAGTTTTTTTTTCCCTAGAAACATGTAAATATCAGTTGGAATGAAATGTTCAGCGGCAGATGTCAACGACTAATCTTTTAAATTGTGGATTAGCGATCATTCATCATATCATAATATCGTAAATAATTATGAAACAAATATGATTTGGTCGCCAAAATCTATTTATCATCGTTGGAACTTGTCCCTATCTTTGAAACATATCATTAGTTTAACAATTATAAAACAAACAAGATTTGGTTATTGGTTACTACCACTATTGATTGCAAACGAGAATGGTCCAAAAAAATTGTTTTAACTCTTAAAGTGGTATCCTACGAAACCACATCAAAACTTACCGTGAAACCTCTCTTAAATAGTTATCATTTAATCTTACCGTATCCATAAAATTAATATATTACAACTTGAATAAGCATCCATCATTTGTAACACGTCCCCTAAGCGAGACCCTATAAATACATCACATGCGTTGCACCAAACATTCACTAAAACTTCGTTTCCTTTCTTGAATTTGTCTTGTGCCCTCTTTTCAGTACACTGAAATCCACTACAAAAATTTATTTATTAAGAAAAGAAAAGAAAAGAAAAAAATACTCTGCCAGGATGGCTTCTTTGATCACAACCAAAGCAATGATGAGTCATCATCATGTTTTGTCGTCAACTAGAATCACTACTCATTATTCCGACAATTCCATCGGCGAGCAACAATTAAAAACAAAATCCCAAGTCCCTCACCGATTATTTGCTCGGAGGATCTTCGGTGTAACCAGAGCTGTAATCAATTCACCGGCACCGTCTCCGTTGCCAGAGAAAGAGAAGTTGGAAGGTGAGAGACGGTGTCATGTTGCGTGGACAAGTGTACAACAAGAGAAGTGGGAGGGTGAGCTTACTGTCCAAGGAAAGATACCCACTTGGCTGGTTTGTCTTTTTATCATTTTTCTATATTGCTCCAAATATATAAATTTTAGCTATATTCGTGGAAATTTATACAAATATGTATCGTGCACACAAAACACACTTACACTGGCACATGCATAATATACAAGACAAACCCATTTTTAATGCATATTTCAGATGCATGTCCATAGATCCTTGTATATATATATATATATATTTTCATAATACATGATTTCATATATTCTAAACGATAATAATATCTTATACACGATTTTCATTACTAAAAATAAGGGTAAGAAATTAGATTAGTACACCATGTTAATCTTGACCAATGAAATAAAAAATCAGCGTATAATCATGTTTCAATGTAAACACCAACAAATAGATTAGGTTACCAAATTTTTTTTTTTTCAGATATATATACGTGTGTAAAATATCTTTTCATTTAACATAATGTATTTTCATACTATCACTTATTATATTTTATAAATCAATAACATTTTTATTAACAAAATGAGACAATAAAATTAATGATTTTAAGATGACATGCAGAATGGTACGTACCTAAGAAACGGTCCCGGTCTATGGAACATTGGAGACCACGATTTCCGTCATCTCTTCGACGGCTACTCCACACTCGTGAAGCTTCAATTCGACGGCGGTCGTATATTCGCCGGCCACCGTCTCCTTGAATCCGACGCCTACAAAGCAGCCAAGAAACACAATCGACTCTGTTACCGTGAATTCTCCGAGACTCCAAAACCGGTGATCATAAACAGAAACTTCAAAAACCCTTTCTCTGGGATCGGAGAAATCGTCAGGCTTTTCTCCGGTGAGTCTTTAACGGACAACGCCAACACCGGGGTGATCAAACTCGGTGACGGGAGGGTCATGTGTCTCACGGAGACTCAAAAAGGATCGATTTTAGTCGACCATGAGACGCTAGAGACGATCGGGAAATTTGAGTACGAGGACGGATTGTCCGATCATATGATCCAATCAGCGCATCCGATAGTGACGGAGACGGAGATGTGGACGTTGATACCGGATTTGGTTAAACCGGGTTATCGGGTCGTGAGAATGGAGGCCGGGTCGAATAAAAGAGAGGTTGTGGGGCGGGTGAGATGTCGGAGCGGGTCGTGGGGACCCGGTTGGGTCCACTCGTTTGCCGTGACGGAGAATTATGTTGTGATACCGGAAATGCCCCTGAGGTATTCGGTGAAGAATCTTCTTAGAGCTGAGCCGACGCCACTTTACAAGTTCGAGTGGTGTCCCCAAGACGGAGCTTTTCTTCATGTCATGTCCAAACTCACCGGAGAAGTCGTAAGTGATACTTACTAAGTTACTACTATATATAATCAATAGCCTTTTTTAAAAAATTCAATTTCGAGTTACATATTAGAATGTAAAATTCATACTATAAAGGATTCTTGATGTGTGTCTTTGGAAATTAACCATCTAACAGTTTATTGTCTAATTTTTTTTGGTCATTTAATTTGAATTTATACATCATGTAAAAGGTGGCGAGCGTGGAGGTTCCAGCATACGTAACGTTTCACTTCATAAACGCGTACGAAGAAGATGAAAATGGCGATGGAAAAGCGACGGTCATCATTGCAGATTGTTGTGAACACAACGCGGATACTCGGATACTTGATATGCTCCGTCTACATACCCTACGTTCCTCCCATGGTCACGATGTTTTACCCGATGCTAGGTAACATATTTAAGGGTTAATACTCACCTACATTTTCAGTTTTGAGTATAGTAATTGGATTAATGTTATCTTATGTTAGGATCGGGAGATTCAGGATACCGTTAGACGGGAGCAAATATGGGAAGCTGGAGACGGCCGTGGAGGCAGAGAAGCATGGGAGGGCGATGGATATGTGCAGCATCAATCCTTTGTATTTGGGTCAAAAATACCGTTACGTTTATGCATGCGGTGCTAAACGACCTTGTAATTTCCCCAATGCTCTCTCCAAGGTAACTTCCATACCCCAAACTATTGGTTTCCAATTTTTAATCGTTTTGAATGGCGGTAGGCTTAACAAGAACTTTTTTATAATTGTATGAGACAGGTTGATATTGTGGAAAAGAAGGTAAAGAACTGGCACGAACCCGGTATCATACCATCCGAACCATTCTTTGTGCCTCGACCGGGTGCAACACATGAGGATGATGGTTAGTTTTAAAACACACTGATTTTATGCCCATCTTTCTTTGATGCGAGTTTAAATTTTGTGGTTTTGTGAAGGAGTGGTGATATCGATAGTAAGTGAAGAAAATGGAGGAAGCTTTGCAATCTTACTTGATGGGAGCTCCTTTGAAGAAATAGCAAGAGCCAAGTTTCCTTATGGTCTTCCTTATGGCCTGCATGGTTGCTGGATCCCCAAACAGTAACTACAAAATCTCAACAAAGATACCTTCATTATACAAAACACAACTTATGTAATATTAATTCATACACATTTGTATAATTAATACCCTCTCTGTGCAGGTTTTGTAAATTGTTGTCCCTTATATATGCTTTTTGTCTCATATATGTAATGTACAAAACCAAAATAAAGGAACGGATTATGGTGGATACATTTATTAAAAATTGCACTAGACCGACCATTCTTGCAATTCAATTAAATTACATCATCCTACCATACATTAATATACACCCAACTGAGAAACGCTATATACTGTAATATGATAATTTTACTCTATTTTTTTTCCTAGCTGAAAACAAGTTACAACAAAATGAAAAGAAGAAATGAGAAAATTCAGCCACTTCTCTTCTCTGTAGATAAACATTGTTACAATGGTGCAGGTGTGGAGCCACAACTATCCCCACCCAGTGAATCGGGTACTATCACCTGCACAACCTTGGGAGCAGGTTCGGGTTCACTGTTTCCACCTATCAATTAGCAAATATGATTTTCAGTTTCATGGGGTTGGTTTAAGATCTTTAGAGTAAGAGAAAAAATGATAGCTCTCTTTGACAATTAACAACAATAAACGGCAGGATACAAACATAGAAATTAAATCAACTTAAGCTATATCTAAACGAAGCCTCATGATTAAAGCGATCTTAGGAAAGTTAATCAAGCAGTATCCTGGCCCTGTCTCTTGAGAGCATATGTAGTGGAAGTCCATTCACAAGAATTTTGGCACAAGGTTTTCGCGATTCAAATTGGATCTCTATTTCGAAACAAGTCCACAAAGATAGACTCTGTATCCACTTACGAACACTCATTCTCTACCATGAATAGGAAATTCCAAACTGAGTAGCGTCAACATTTTTGCTATATAAGATGTTCCGAACCTTTTCATAGGATTTCCCCAAAAGTAATATCTGTACAAACCTTTGGAGAACGACCGAAAGCACATAACAAGGAAATAAGAGTTTCAGATAGACTAGAGTAACTAACCTGATTGAACCGAAGGAACCACTGATGAAGTTGAGGCTCCTCTCTTAATTTTTGGCTGCAATTGTCACAAACAGTTTCTTAAATGAATGACGCTAAACTTCAATATCTAGCAACAACCCTAAGAAAAAAAGTTTGTAAATAAATACGACTGTTGTACTATTGTAGTCTAGAATTCTTAACCTAGGTGAGTAGGTTTTACAAGTAGGTAAAAACGATTCTTTGCAGGTAAAAGACTAAGACTAAAATAATGAGCAGACTGGTATTCAGTACCTTGGTATTTTCTTCCATATATTTCACGACCTGAGAGATGCTTCCACAATGTCCATGAACCAACGTGTAAGCCCACAAAAGAAGCTTCCTTGGGATGCTTACATCAATGACTTCAACTCCTTCACTGCCTGGAAGTTCTCCTGCTGGCGCTAGTTGAGGCAGTGCGAAATAGAGGTTGATATCAGAAGGGAGTGTCACCGAGGCAGTTTCTCGGAAGAAATTGTAACAACTTTTAAGTAGGGCATTAGCGATCTCCAGATTCTCCTCCAAAACTTTATTGAAAATCAGTACATTCTTGATCTTGGACAGAACAGGGCGCCATTTTGCCTCAAGCATTTGGGATTCTAAGGGATCCTCGAACGAAGAACTCCAGAATTCTGACTGTAGATCAACACAAAGCACACGTCTTTTTTCCAGTAAACCAAATGATGGAGTTACTGCTGGACTTTCCTCTGAGGATGCTTGCTGCAAGGGTGTTATCGATGCCAAGCTTATTATCAGAGCTCGGCACCAAGCAAGAGAAGCATGTCTGCCAACTTTTGCCGAAAAAGTATTAGACAACTTTGGATTCTTGAAACGCTTTCGAATCTTTTCATTAATGGTTTCCAGGGTCTCAACCTTGTTGTCTAGCTCAAGAGATACGATGTATTGATGTAGATATCTGCAAAAGGAAAAATCAATATCGGATAGCAAAAATTGAATGGTCAGGCTGGAATAAATTCATGTCTCATGCAAAACTGATCACCTGTATAAGCTGCTTTCTGAGGTTTCTGGACCTCTTATTTCAGGGAAATTGCATATGTCCGGCCATATGCTTCCTTGTTCTATAAAGAGGGAAAATATTTTCTCTAGCTGACTATCAGGGTTGATTTTTGCTCCTGCAGACTCAACCCGGCTCATCGAGGAAACCAGTGCATTTATGTATCTTCCTATTGCAATTGGTACAAGGTCTTCAATGCATAGAGAGAACTGAGTTCAAAATTTATCGAGAGCAGCATTAACATTTAGCAAACTATATTCAGCTTATGGCAACTTGATGATGACATAGCACGTAAGGAGCATCAAAAAACTAATTTCCTCTATTGCTTTAGTATTTTAGGAGATGTTAGACACCAATGAAATAACAAAAATCTACCAAATTAAGCCTTCATAATGTAACAATCCATTGCACAGGCTCTGACCACCCCTTGGATCATCACCACCATATCATGCAGTAGAAATATAAAGGTTGCTATATGGTATTCCATCACCACGTCAAAGCCTGACTTAGGATCGTTTATTTCCGTATAAACAGGATCAAATTTCATGTCATGTATGAAAAAGTGAGTACTAGCAAAGTATTTGATAGAAATGATCAAGTCCTTACCCTCTTATCTGATCGAAGAGAATTAAAGGCTCGTTCTAGTGTGTTGACATCTCCAGTTTCCTCCAATAGTCTCAGATAGAACAGTAAGTATTTGCGAATGCAGGTAATGAATTTCCGTGAACTTTCTGGCAGGTTAACTTCAAGAGCCTTCTTGTTCCCAGCCAAACCTGGAGTTTTCCGCCTAAATAGAAAGAGAGAAAAATATTCATGAAAGATTCTCAATTGTATCTATGGAGCTAAATTTACATGATTGGTACATCCAGTTTTATCATATTGTTTCTCAGAAGGTTATTCCAATCATCAGTGTTACATCACTCAAAAGTTTTATGAGGCAAGTAAGAATGTGTCTGTACCTTCCCTTCTTAACCATGCCATCAATCTCCCACATATTGATCGTAAAACTTGACCGGGATGATTTGAAACAAAAAGAAAGTTCTTCTTTTGCTCTTTGCAGATCACTGCTCCCACCCCTTCTGTACAGTCCTTGGGCAAGCATGTATCTCGCCTTATGAAAGTGTTTAAGATCTCCTTCAACACAAATTCCCAGTGCAGAAAGGCTGTCGTTGTAGAGCATATGCCATACCCCTTCCATCTGAATTGATCCCTCTCCAGTTTTAGCATAATATGCTTCCAAGTTTCCATCTTGAGCTTCTTCCAGTGTACGAGAGGATCCAAAAGTCGTTGTACCAATGATTGTCATAGCAGTATCCTTTATAGATTCATCAAAGCAATAAGAGGCGAGGACCTGAAAGGTTGACAGCAAAAATTATGAAGGACCACCAAAACAGAAAAGTAAACCAATAGTGGACATCTTTAGCTGAGACTGAATATAAACATGATTTTTCTTTTGAAACCATTATGCGGTAGTTACAAGTTATACAAAAGAAGCCTGTTCTTATGCAAATGAGAAAGAGAAAAACAGAAGAACGTCAATTACAAACCTTTAAGGCTTCTAAGTTCTGTTTCCCACATGCATTTAGCAGCTTCAAACGAGAAGCATGCATTCTATACACAGGATCTACGGCTGACGGATTTAATGTCATGGCTTGCTTATAATAGGATAAAGAAATTTCATATGAGTGCCCAAGCTTCTCACTGATTTTTCCCATGTAGAATGCATGTGACCAATCTTGTCTGTACAGGATGGGTTAAGAAAAGAATTCTTAGCCTCTTAAGTAATTGACCAAAGTGAACACACTTTGAATGACAAATAAACTATACCGATGTGCAAAGGCTTTGTTGAAATGCTTCATTGAGTTCTCACAAAATCTTGTCCATGTTGCATCCTTGGAGGGTAGCACAGACCGCTGATCATAAATCGGCACAACACTCTGAAGACTGTCATAGTATACCAGCGCCAAAAACTCATGTATCTCAGACTACAATAGAAGATCAATACATAAACATCATCAACAACAGCAACATGTAGTTTTAATATTCTACAGGAATAAAACTAACAACTCTCCAAAAACCCATTCCTCTATCAAAATATAAACTGTGCTAAGTTATTCCTGCAAGTTAAGCTCATTGTTGTAACTTAAATTATATAATCAAGCTTATAATCTATTCTCTCTATAGTAAGTAAGATATTTTTGGTTTAATGAAAATTCACATATTACTATACAACCTACTAAAGCTACCACCAGAAATCTGGTAGGTAGTGAATTCAACTGAGAAATACTAACATTAAAAATACGAGGAAAAGAATTTAGGGAAAAGGATAGGCAGGAGAAGAATAGGGTCAAAAGCGTCTCTACCTCGGGTATGGCTAAAAGCCTGCTCATAACCTAATCCATAAATCTATGCTCGCAAATTCTAAACATAACTGACAAATGGAGGATATTACATCAAATTTCATTTCTACATAGTAGTAATATCATTAAACTAATCGTCAATTAAGTGCTTTCCCTTTCAGTTTATTTTCTTAATGTTGATTTTCGTGTCTCTATCGTATTCCCTTAAGTGGCACCACCCATAATGGTAACTGGGGACATACTAAACAGCAACATCTATTTTCAGTCATCTAGTGAGTAATTAAGCATGGATGAAGGTGGCTAATGAAACCTGTTGATCTGGTGATTTTGCCAATGCCAAACTCATTAGCAGGCAACGTCTGCTTCTTCTTCTGCTTGTCTCAACTCTTTGCGAAAGAGCGGAATTTTTCCTCCATCCTACAACATTTATGTGCTTACTCCCATCATTTAGCAACAAATCGACTTCCTGATTTAAGTGAAAAAAAACAAATGGGAAATGCAATGAATTATTAAAAATGATTAAAGACCATTAATGAAAGGCACAAAGCCACCCTCTCTTAAGTCAAGGGTAAGAACTCATCCCCAAAAGCTACCCTTTGAAAAGGATTTACTCCTTACTGCTATTGGAAGGTAAAATTTCAGAATAACAGTAACAACAAGAACGAATGAAAGAATGAAAGAACTTGCCTCGTCGTATATATTGCCAAGCTTTTCCCAACTCTCAAAGCGCAGAGGATTATAGATCAGATCATATTTGAACAGATTTGTATTCTGCTGTACAAACTCTTCTCCTTCCTTCGTCAGAACAAAGCCGGGCCATTTATCACTAGCACTAACTTCTTCAGACTGAGCTAAGAAATAATACAAGTTGCGGTAGACATCCAGATAGGGGTCGGAACTGCAAGAAGTTTATATAACATCCTTATGTATTCCAACTTTACAAATATCTAAAAACTTAATATTTCGTTTTTGGTAATGACTGAAAACTCTCTCTAGTGGTTCATCGTTTTTAAAGAGGACAAGAACAAGATTCTAGAAAACTTATTCATCATACTTCTGCTTGTCACAAATATCGAAAATGTGAAATTTATAGACACATTTCGATCTAGAGATATACATAAATATGCAGATCATCCTGCATGGTTATCTCTGCTAAAAATTATATTCTTGATTATGCAAAGAATCAGCTTAAATGATATCAGACTATGGAAGGTATTTTTAGCAAGAGGAATTCATAACAAGAATGCTTGGTCATACCTGTGAAGCAGTGATATCTTGTACTCACTGAGAGTTCTGCTGGGAATTAGACATTTAGTTATGGTTTCAAGGAAACCTTCAGAACCAGCCTCATATGAGAGTTTGTCTTCACATAAATCAGGGTCATCTAAGAATTTCTCTATCACATTGCCAATTAGGAGATCATCTGATGGTTGTGCAAAATGCTTTTTTATTGCTCTCAAGACTCTTCGGAGTTTAACTAGTCCAGTTCTCTGTGACAAGAAGGATATGTATAAGATTACCAGAGACTATCTTGAAAACATGGTACGTGTATTGAACACTGCTAGCAACACAATCTGTATTGAATGCCCACGTGGGTTAAAGAGTGAATTCTTATCACTTTAAACAAAATATTTCTCCAATTTTAGGCTACATGAGTTACAACAGATGTTTCGGAAAAACAATGTTGGATATGTACTGAACACAACTTGCAGAACATTATAATTTGTGTGTGCCATGTGGGTAGGCCATGCATGCTTTAATCTATATGCCTTGTTTGATAAACACCAGTTGACATGTGAGCCTAGTTACAGAAGTGAATAGCTCTTTTGGTTACATGCAATATGATTTTGTCTACTCGAACAGAAAAATTTGCAAGCTACAAACTTGTGCTGATAGTTGTTACCTTCTCAGTGCTGCCACTACGATTTAACTTTGATTATATATAGACATATGCACCAAGTACAAGAAAATAAACTTTCGAACGCCCTTATCACACACATGAAAATGAGCCTACCAAGTTAAGGAAAGATCACTCACAGAAGAAGCTTTGGCATAGGGTAGTATGTACTGGAAGACATCAACACATTGTTCCTTGGTCTGATAATCTCCCCGGCTAGTGTTTTTGTGCACAGCGAGCTCATCTTCGTAGGAACCATCGACTCTAAGATTTAGACCATAAAGGCAAAAGAAACATTGATCTAAAGCGTTGTTGATTAACAACTCAAGTTCATCTTTTTCTTCTTCCGCAACCACTTCTGTGTGTTCTGTAATCTGTTTGCTTTCTTGTTCTGACTGTTCTTTTTCCCTATAACCAACTTGTTCTTCAGAACCATCCTTCTTAGAATCAGTTTTGTTGGTTTCGTTATTCTTAATATGCACCTCTGTGAGAAATGATTTTATTTCATTTCTGCATAATTTGTCAGGCAGTGCCATATCATGTCCAAGACCATCTGGGGAGTTAATACTGGATTTGACTTTCATGTCCACAGCCAATAAATGCTTAATCGCAAATCTAAGAAAAGCTCCTTCCTCCCCCGAACAATTTTTACCAGCACAGCAGAGCCCATATTCAGCAAGCAAATCATGGAGACCTATGATCAACTCAACCTAAAAAATTTGAGAAAGTCCAATATCACTAATCAGCAGACCAAAATAGCTTTTAGTATCATGGCTGATAATAAATAGTAAGCGATAACATTCGTAATTTGTCACACCAAACAGACACGACTAACTATGTCAAACTGAGAGCCCCAAATTCACATATCACCCAAAAATAGGAAAATCGAACCCCAGTAAGCCATGTCTTACTTGGTATTTGGTAGACATGGTAGCATCAAGGTGTTGAAGTTTACAGAATCCAATAGCTGCATCGAGAAAGCAAAACTTCTTCTCTTCTTCAATCCCATCAGCATTTTGAGAATCTGAATATCTCTTAGAAAGAAAATGCCTCACGATATTTGACATAACTCTCAAAAGCAGAGCTTGTATACCAGCTACACAATATTTTGGGGCAACCATGTCATTCTGCACATCAAACATACACATTAATAAACGCAGCCACGATAAAAAAAAAATTTAGGACAACCATAAAATTTTCTAATATTGATCTCTTCTACATTTTACTGCCTAGTAATTACTCATGCAAATTTTATCTCAAACTTTATACTCTTCAAGTAGTCTATAGTACAAGAGCCTCAAGATTGTCAAATTTTGAATTAGCATATCAAGCAAGGAACAAGCAGATAATGCATTTAAATGATTCAAACAAGCTCAATGACCATCTGTATAATTTATCTCATACGCTTGTGCTAGCATGATCAGAATAACATATCCAAAGCAAACAAAGATTATTAGCGTTTCAAATATTTCTTGAGAACCATACTATATATGTCAAAAACAGGTTTCAGACTTACAGAGTTTCCTGACTGGTCAAGGGAGTTCTTCACTTGAGAGATACAGAGAAGAATTGCCTTGACTTCCTCCGCCACCAAGTGATCCCAACTCTCACTTGAATTTTTATCCGGCTTTTTAGGTGTCACAACAGATTCTCCCGTACCAGTTGATTCCAAGAGAACTTGCAACTTTCTTCTATGACAGTTCATATAAACCTCCACATCTATAGGCTTACTCTTCTGGCAGGCTTTTATTAAAACGTCAAGTGCTGATAACTCAACAGAGGAGATCCCGTCTTCCGTTTTTACAGCGTATGCAGGCAACATGTCTTTATTTGGAAATAAAAGAGGTGCCAGTAAATTTACACACTCCGAATAAAATTCTTTCTCCATCATCTCAGGTATGGTATTTTCCAACAAGAAATCAGTCTTAAGCAGATTAATTTCATGAATGATTCTATTAATGTTCAGCTCTCGAATTCTTCTGCAATGAGGTAGCTGAATTAAGACAGGAGCTTCTCCGATACCTTCCTTGTCCAACAATGACAAACATCTAAGAAATTCTTCAAGTGCTTTAGCTTTATTATCCTCCAAAATTGATAACCGTGCACTCAGCCAGAAATATCGAGCCCAGAAAGATCTTTTATCATAATCTAACACCTCTTTAGCAGCCTTGAATGAGGAGTCAGAAAATCTTTCCCCCCAAGAACTAGGCGTAAAGTCGATAGCATAATCAAGGGAGACAGATTCAATTATCTTAGAGAGATGGTATGTTATTTCAACCATGCATGATCGGCCATCAGGAATATCTGAACCTTTAGAGTCAAAGTCATGGTACAGCTCGGCGAGAAAAAGACTGCATTCAGGTTTCCGATCTCGGCCCCAATGTCTTGTTAGCTTTTCTAACTCCAAAATTTTCAAGGCAGCATCACGACTCAATATATGTTCACATTTACTAGCAATATATTCTAGAAGCAAGTGACCCATATGATACGCACCATAATTTTCTGAATTTTCCTTCACAAAATTAGAAACGACAGCGTGTTCAGAAATTGGATCAGATTCCTCAAGGCAGGAAGAACCAGCAGACACTCTGTTGAATCCCCTCGTAAGGACAAATTTCTCAAGATATTGAAGGGTGTCACTGCTAGGATCCTTGCTATTATCAAATTCTAACTCTTCCTTCTCAGGTTTCTGGTTCCGAAGCCGTTCAAGACGAGTACTCCGCCTCTCTTGGGGGTGTTCTTCAGAAAACACAGGCTCTTTTTCTTTTACAGAACCACCACTTTCTCTTTCGATGTTACAATCCTTAACAGACACATTACTTGAATCTGAATCCACACAATGATCCTTCTTTTTCAGACCTTGCATAACAGCTTCAGTACTAAGGGCTAGTTCAATGGTTATTGGTATATCAGCTGATATGCCCACAGTTTCACGCGAAGGATGCACTATCCCAATTAGAATATTTATCAGTGCCACCCATGAAGCTTCAGGAAGTTTAACTTGCACTCTTTTTTTCAACTTCTTGGAGGCAGCATCCATGTCCTGATTCATGTCAGACACCTTTCTTTTGCCAAGAAATTTGAGCCGGACGTGCTGAGGTTCAAGTTTATCTATACCCTTGGGCACAAAAGGAGCTGAATCTGTTTCTTCAATACAATGTTTAACATGCAAAGCACGAGAATGTGATGGCCAATGCCTTAAAATCAGATTTGCAACTGAGAGACAGGAAACTTCATCACCTATGGCAATGAGAACTTCTAGAAGTTTCTCCATGCAGTTCCCTGCACATTAGGCAATTCAATTTTCAAGGGAAGCTTAAAGGCAACAGTCCATACCAAGTATGAGTAATGTGAACCCAAAAACAGAGAGAGGAAGAAGATAAAGAACAATGCGTACAATTATTGGGGCTGCAGAGAAGTCCCTGTTCAAATGCCCATCGTGAAATACTCAGTAATCCCATAGAACATGATAGGGTTCCAAGATGGTTCCACAGGACAGAATCTTTTGCGTCTAAGTCTATAGCTTGAAGATAACAGTTTAGAGCATTCTCGTAATGACTTGAACCAAGCTCAAGAAATACAGTGGCAAGATTCTTCAGAGCCAAAAATCTGAAAAAAAAAAAAAAAAACTATACTGAAGTTATTTATAGGCGACCACAGTACTAATAAACAAGAAATATTTTGAACTACATAAAACCAAACTAGTAGACATGTAACGAAATGTAACTAGATGAATTAGAACATGGAGCTTGACCTGAGATGATGGAGATGATTGTCGTTTGCAATAGTCTCCACCTGGAAAGAAATGACTTGATGTCAGTAAGAAACAGCTCATTATCCAAAGAAATCATCAGAGAAACCGAACAAGTTAATTTACTTTGGAGTTAGCTATAATAGGATCCTTCAGGATAGATTCAAGCAGCTCCCGAGCCTTTTCATAGTCTTTAGCTTGCAGCTTGAGAAGACCATCATGATATGTTTGTGACAGATGAAACTCCTGAAAAGGGCAATCAAACAAACAGTTCAATATCTATTTTCAACAATGAGCTAATCTAACTTCAGATTATGCATCACTCTCTTCTTTATACCAAAATTGAGAACAAAGAAGCCCTAAATTCAGAAAAAAAACCTGAGCTTCTTTGCTAGGAGCTAAAGGTTCCCACTTTTCTGTGGACTCCGTATCATTGATCGCAGCAATCGAAAACTGAAGAAACGGAAAAAAGCAAAACAGATAAAAAAATCAAACCCTAATCGATTGAAATATCAAAATTAAATCTTGACCGAAATTATCATTACCATCTTGATACTCGAAGCTGCAGAGGGAGGTCAATGGTTGGGTTTGTTTCAGTAGTCCGTGATTCAGAGTTCTTGGCGCGAAATTGGTCTATCTTCTTCTTCTTCTTCTAACTAGGGTTGATGCCCGTTATACACATTATTAGGGTTTTAGATTTCATGATTTCTTTTCTTTGTTTGGTCTGTTCCACTGTGTTTTTTTTTTTGCGCTCCGTTGGCCGACTGTCGAAAAAAAAGAGGGGTTTTCCGATTATGTATATGCCTGAATTATGGAAATTTTCCTAAATATACTTTTTGCAGTTTTTTTTATAAATACTTGAAAATATTGCAATTAAAATTTAAGTTTCCTATTTTCAAGACTTTTGTAAAAAGTGATTTGTCAACTAAAACTTACCAGAGTTATCATCTTTCAAGTTTCAATACTCTTCAGATTAGTAAAACATTTACTCACCAAAAAAAAGATTAGTAAAACATTCATCTTTAACGAATTCGGTTATCTCACATTAGTTCTACTAATTGGCAGCATATTACATCTACTTTAGTGGGCCTAGCTATTACTATTTCAATATGCAATGAACTTCATTGGATTATCCATTAACATTATTAAAACTAAACTACATTTGTATTTGAGTTACAAATTTGTATTGGGCTGGAGACAACTTAAAAGCTTTACTAAACAAAAAGTTAAAACCACTCTTAATTAAATTTATTAATTAATATTAACTGAGAACCAGTTAAAGTAGGTGTTAAAAAAAAAAAAAAACTTATTCATACTACAAACATGTAAAAAGAGGTGTCATCCACTATGCAAAATTTAGGACCAAGAAAATAAAAACTGTAAATTATGCCTTCACAATATGTCTTTAATACACATAAAGGATTTAGCTACGGTTAATGTAAATTATGTTGTTAGAAGTAAGGCTAAACAATAAATATTAATTGGTCAGGTCCACAGACAGCCTTGGCAAGTGGCAAGCACTAAAAATTCGACCGTTATTTTTTGCCCCTTTTTAAAATATTTCAAAATTGTCTCTTTAGTTTTATTTTAAAGGTTTTTAGCCCGCTCCTCTCCACCTTTAATTTTTCCAATTGGATCTGTCAAAATCTTGGCCTCTTTCTCTCTCTCTCTTTCTTTGTTGGGTTGATCTCTTCTTCCATGGCGATCCCTACGGAGACACAACAACAGGAGAAGGTACTCTTTCACGATTCCATGACCTTATATGATCCCTTCGTGTCGTTTTTAGGGATTGTGATAGCAAATCTTTTTCCGTTTCTTTCGATTTTTCTTTGTGTTAGGTTTGAAATGTTTTTGCCTTTTCTTTTGCACGATTAGGGTTTGGAACTTTTGTGAATTTAAACAATCGATTTATGTTTAGAGTTAAAGAGAATCAATTAGGTCAATTTCAAAGCAGATTCGTTTCTAGCGATGATTCAATTGTCATATTATCTGAAAATTGGCTTTGATTTTGTTATCAGGAGGCTTCAGATGCTTCTGCAGCTGCACAAAAGAGATGGACTTTAAGCGATTTCGACATCGGTAAGCCTCTTGGCAGAGGAAAATTCGGTCACGTCTATCTAGCCAGAGAAAAACGGGTCAGTAACTAAAACCAATCAATGATTGATCTTCCACAATATTCAAATTTTGTTGTTTATCTTGTAGGACTTAGTTCTAGAATCCAAACTTGAGCATTTGTTTAGATTCTTGATTGTTTTTTTCCACCAATCTCACACATACATGCAAATATGAAACAGAGCAATCACATTGTCGCTCTAAAGGTTCTTTTCAAGAGCCAGCTTCAACAATCCCAAGTTGAACATCAGCTCCGAAGAGAAGTTGAGATTCAGTCTCATCTTCGACACCCCAACATTCTCCGGCTTTATGGCTATTTCTATGATCAAGTAAGTTTTTCTCCTTTTTTATTGACAGATAAAATATCCAAATTCTTGAGCATGATGAAGTTCTTCATTTGTTGCAGAAAAGAGTTTATTTGATACTTGAGTATGCTGCTAGAGGCGAACTTTACAAGGAACTTCAGAAATGCAAATACTTCAGCGAGAGACGAGCTGCAACAGTTAGTCCTTCTTTCTATGATTATTGACCTCTCAATCAAACTAATTCGTTGTATAAAAACTGATATCCTTATATGTTCATTGTGCCAGTATGTTGCGTCATTGGCGAGGGCTCTCATCTATTGCCATGGCAAGCATGTGATACACAGAGATATTAAACCAGAGAATCTGCTAATTGGTGCTCAGGTGATATAAGCTTTACCTTTTCCTTGCAGTAACATCTATCCATTTGTTTATAAAACTAGCTAACACATGGATACTTAACTATCAGGGTGAGCTCAAGATTGCAGATTTTGGTTGGTCGGTACACACATTTAACCGCAGAAGGACGATGTGTGGCACACTAGATTACCTTCCTCCTGAAATGGGTAAAGTTGAATACTTGCTTGAAAGTTAGTTCTAGTGTGATCTAAATTATATTTAACAGTGACCTTTTGGTTTTCTTATAGTCGAAAGCGTAGAACATGATGCTAGTGTAGATATCTGGAGCCTTGGGATTCTCTGTTACGAGTTTCTTTATGGTGTACCTCCTTTTGAAGCCATGGAGCACTCAGACACATACAGAAGGTAGACAAAAACACCTGCATTTGAAATCTACAACTATAGTCTGTTTCTTGTGGGTTTGTTTGATGATATTGTTACCACAAATGATATATAACAGGATTGTGCAAGTGGATCTCAAGTTCCCTCCCAAACCAATTGTCTCTGCATCTGCAAAGGATCTCATTAGCCAGGTTTTTCTATACCTTCAATCTAACACATACACTTTGAGGAAAGTAGTAGTTGTTGAATCTAAAATTCTCACATATTTTCTCGATTGAATGTACAGATGCTTGTCAAGGAGTCTTCCCAACGTCTGCCATTGCACAAGCTTCTGGAGCATCCGTGGATTGTGCAAAACGCTGATCCTTCAGGAATATACAGAGGTTAAAAACAAAACACTTTCAGTTCTTACCGTTCTTGGCAATCTCGAGCCAAACTGTTATCTAGAAAGACAAAAAAAAAAGAACACCATTGTGTAGGTGTATGAATCTTCTTATTATTCTTTTTCGCTAATTCATGTTTCGAATAATGTGTATCCCAAAAAAAAAATCAAGTATCTGTATTACGTAGTATGTACTATGTCATTAACGGGAGAAGGAAACTCTATAAAGAGTTGTTGTTAACTGAAAAATGTTTTCTTACTTTGTCATTTGCCCAAACTACATTCCAGAAGTTTAACCTTTGGTCACAAAAAAAAAAAAAAAAAAAAAAAAAAAAAAAAAAAACCTTTGGTCACATTTTTTTTCTTTCTTTTTTGACAAATTATTATAAAATATTACTGTGATTGTTGTAAAAGGTCACCATTAAAGACCAACGTGGATTAAGCACTCCGAGCAACAATCTAGCCGGACATTTGAGGTGTTTTTGCCGGAAGTGAAAAACAATAAAAAAAAGACATGTAAATTAGAAGAGTTTCAAAAGATGGAATCACACACCCTAGAACCAAATTCTTTTGTCGCTATATAAAATCGACGAGGAAACAATCCCTTAAAAATAAACTAAATAAAATGACGATCTATCAAAGAGTAGCTGCAAAAACATACGCTAAGTCAACATTTGGCTCATTGGTTGTAAACACAACGTCAAACCACTCACGTGTCCCCCAAATCTCCCCTTTTTGGCGTCTTTCAATCGTAATTTCCGCACACCAAATTTTTGTCTCTTCATGAAGCTGGTTAGCATGCACCTTCTCCAGCCAGAAAACCGCAATTTTTCCACCATAATTTACGCATTTACTAGGAACATAATGAGTAATCCTAAACAATCCCTCCAAACCCTTCAACCTTTTCCACAATTTTTCCTCAGAGTCATACCAATCGATCATACAGCTCCAACAACTATAGAGCACGTTATCGATCACACAGTGAGATGATAAGCTACCACCCCTACTCATCGATGGTTGTCCTTTTCTCCATCTACCTTTATGCAGCTCGTAAAGCCCATATGTCTGCATAGATTTCACGTAGACATTTCCATCATACCCTATGCTTTCGCACCTAGTAAGATCCCTGCATATTTCCTCGCCAGGACTCGACACAAACTCCCAAGTTTGAGTCTTTGTATCGAATACCTCCATCCAGATAGTTGCATCTGGATTTTGGCAGCCTCCTGCTACATATATTTTTCCATCAAGCACGCAAGCAGATGGGTAAACACGTGCAGCACGCATGCTTTGGGCTTCACGCCATGTGTGAGAACGACAGTCCATAACCATGACGCTAGAAGATGCATTGTTCTTTATTGAACCGCCAATGACATAGATATTAGAACCAACCAGTACAACATCTGGCAAGTACTTGGGAATAGAATCGGGAGATAAAATAGGGACCATAACTTTCGTCGAGCTATTTGGTCTCCGGCAGAGAGTAAACAAACGTAGTGGGTTTGAAACGCTACGGATTCGTAAGCACACGTAGAGAAAACTCTCGGTGCGGCCTAAGAGGTTTCGGGTTTGGAAAAGCTCCGTTGAAGTGAGGAAAGAGCGGAATCTCTTGGAGACTAAGGAGAGAATTGGATAATATATTCTTGAGACACGAGCTGAAAAATTGTCACTTATGCCACTTTTCAGAAAAAAATGATCTGGCATGCCACTAAAAAATCTACATGCCATCGAAAATGTGAAGTGCCGAAATTACCCTTAATGAAGAAAGAAGAAGAAATTAAAAAAAAAAAAACAAAATCGTTTTTGTCTCTCTCCTCTCCCTCTCTCTCCCCGATCCCGACGCTCTTTTTCTCTCCTCCTCCGCCGCTCCCGTCGATCTGCAACTACGGCTCAACAGGCGCCTCCTCCTTCTCGAAATCGGTTAGTTTTTTCTCATGTATTCTCTTGACATTGCTGCATTGTTTGGATTTTAGGTAATTTATGAGTAATCTGAAATTTTTTTAAATTAGGGATTTCAAATGAAAATTGGGTTTTATTTGGGTTAATCGAATGTATATT